GTGCTTTGGTTTTGCTCAATGAGGCCGCTCGATTGAATTGAAGCTCGGCGAGATAGGTCATGAAAAACGCGCAAAAAGAATACAAAGCGCTGACACGTGCTCTCCACTTTTCCGTGCAGCGACAAAGCATGGTGTGTGTGTATTTTATTATTACGGCGTGTCATCCACCGTCTCGCACTCTCTTGTGTGGCGCAATTTCATTGTGCCGGCGCGGAGAGCGCTTGTTTGGCTCCAGATTGGCGCTGGATAAGAAGACGTTTTCTCATTTCCTTTTTCGGGCCGCCTTCGAAATATCGTTCGCTTTCAAACGCAAACGCGAGTACTTTTTGTAGGTCAAAAGTTATTTTCACTCTATAAAAAAAAAACAAAGATAATTTTGAAGCATAAATTAATTAAAAAGTAAGCTCAAAGTTGTGAAAACTGTTCTATACATTTGTGAGCATTTTTTTTTTCATTTTTATAGAAACCAAAATTGCTTACACAGGTTTATTTAATTTTTTCTTAAGTTTTAATTATTATTAGTTCAAGTAGTAATGATTCGAGAACTTCAATAAAAAATATTAAATTTTAATTAAAATTCAAAAATTAAAACATTGAATTTTATTTAAAAATCTTTAAATATGGCGAACTTCAATAATATTTGATAAAGATGCAATTTTTATTTAATAATTTTTTTTCTCAAAATAAATTATCTATTTGTAGTTTCCAAAAGAGAATGAATAGTTTCACTTTGTACTTTATTTTCCCTTGGCTGCGCAAATCCTAAGAGTGGAATCGAAAGAAAATAATTCGCATAGAAAGCTCTGGTCGGAATCGCACTCTTCGATTTGTGTGTTCCGATCAAGCCCGCTGGCTGGCGTGCGCCAATCTATTTTTAAGAAGTGTCAGCGCTTCTCTTCCTTTCTTCTCCGTCAATAATCCGATCGAGAGCCGCAGCAGCCACTCGAAGGAAGGACACCTTTGCTTCGTCGGCTCCGATTCGCAAGACTTGCACTTTTCTTTTTATTTGCAAATGTATAATTCGGCCGCAGCAATCAACTCTCGTGGTTTACACGCTCTATTTGCCAAATGAAACAGATCAATCTGAATGTTTTGTAGAATTAATCAAAATTGCGTGGTTCATCGTCAAAAAAATTTCACAGATGAATAAGTTAAAAAAAAAAAATAAAAAATAAAACGTGCAGATAAAAAATACCATAAGATCAATGCGTATTTTGATGCCAATTATTATTCCCATTATTTAAATTTGGTGGATTTGAATTATGATTGTTGAAATTGCAACAATTTAACTTACCTAAAGAAAATTAAAATCCTATTCAATTTAAAAATTTCACTACTTTAAATAAATTGAAGGTAATTTACAATTTTCCATGCATGGAAGTGATCCCTGAATATAATTGAGCTTTTTTCCCAGAAAAAAATCAGCATCACATTTTGCGATAATAAAACAGCTTTATTTTCACAATTAGCCTTTAAGAGTAGTTTTAAGCTACCGAAATTATTGTAACTAGACGCACAGTGTGTGTGTTTGTTTGTGTGTTACGAATAATAATTCGGGCGCCGCAACCGCTCTTAATGAGCTGCGTCCATATTTGCAGAGCTCCGCGAGTTTCGAGCAGAGTAAATATGCGTGCTCGGTTTTCGTGGCCATCCTCAGAGATACGAATGACGTTTTTTGTGTGCGGTAGCAATAATAGGAGCAGTATTAATTTGCCTGCCACCGACGTCGCCGCCGAGCTCTCAAGAGCAAAAGACAGAGAAGATTCTGAAGGGGCCGAAAATTTATGCTGGTTTAATTCAGAAATGCTTTTGTTCAAATAATTGACATAAAATGAGACTTTGAAATCCATATTTTCAATTTTTTTTTTCAAATTCGTCACTGAATTGCTTTAACTGTTTTCATCTTAATATCAGTAAACTTTAGATACAATCGAGGATAAATTTGTTGATTATAAATCTTTTCTCTCATTTATTTATTTATGTATTCTTTATTCTATATTAAATCATGAATACTGTAAAAGCACTGCAATTCCTAATCAATATGATATGTTTATATATTATGTATAGATACTTTGTTGAATTTGCACTATAGTATTACCAATTTTTTGTAAAGTAAAAGGATATTGCCCAGACACACAATATAAATAAAAAATGCTCAAGATAAGAATTTTAATTTACAAAATCATAAATTAATTTTATTTAAAAAAATTAGAAATAAATATAAAAGTAAAAGTTTTTAAATTTAAAATAATATAGAAATTTATTAAACACAAAATGTGAACAACATTTAAAGATGCGAGTAAATTAAATTTAAAATAAATAAACATAATTATTCAATTTAATATATCAAAATTTAGTTTTAGTTTAAAAAAATTATATTCACATAATAACTGCTGTGTTTGTGGGTCAGTGGGGTGGAATCGATTGGTCCATTTCTGCGAGTGACACAAAAAGATTCGCCCTGATCATTTATCGCCGCATGAATACAAAAGTGCAGCCTTGCAAATCCTTCTTCTTCGCCGAACGTGACAGTCAAAAGCCGCATGCGGTTTGTGAACTTGAGCGCAAAATGCAATCGATGAATGAATCAATCTGTGCTGCCGTTTAATTTTCTAATCGCTCAAAGGCGCCGATTTTCTCACAAGCAGCGTTTTTCTAATTAACATTGTTTGAGCTGAATAGCGGTTCGGATTGTTTCTCTCACACAGACGCCTCGCTTACAAAGAAAATACGAAAGAAAGGGTGCATGAGAGCAGTCAGAAAATACCGCAAGGAAATATTGTTACACAATAATTGAAGCAAAATATTTATGAACAAAGAAGCGCCAATCATTTTTTTTAAAGATAATAATCTGTTATTATGACTTGCAAATTCTAGCCGTTTTTCCAGCTTTAGTAAGAAAAAGTTAAAATTTAATACGGGTTTTTAATATTTTTTCTTGCTTATCACGGCTTATCATTTGCATTGTCCAAAATTTAAATATGATTTTTGCTTGAAGCCAAATTATTTGGGAAAATCACAGAAAAAATTTGCAAATTTAATGCTTTCATTTGGTCTAATTTTGTCAACGTCCATTCATTTTTTAACATATAAACATGCTTTGCTCCTTTAGTCCAAGTAAGTAGATTTAAAATTGCTTTTCTCAGCTCAAATTTGCTGTCGTTTATAATTTTTTATTTTTTCCACCCAAGAACCGCATAAAATATTATTATCAAACACCTCAAGCCATCTACAGTCCTCTGATCAGTGATAATTAATTGGTGATAAAGTTGAAAAATGATCCATATGAAGAAAAATACTAAGTGCAATGAATATTTTCATTTCTAATCAAAACTATTTAAGTATAACAAGAACCGCCACAGATATGTAATATAATTTAAATATAATTGTTTTATTGGTATTAAAATTAAAAAAAAACAATGTAATATTAACCAAAGTATTTATAAAAATAATTAATAAATAAATTAGAGTTATATTATAACAAAAAGTTGATAATTATTAAAAATAAAATAAAAAGTGAAAATTAATTTTAAACAATTGGCATTTTAAGAAGTTTGAAGTTTTAAAATAGAATGTCAAAACTTTCTTATTTCTTAAAGCACTTTCGTATAACATTAACCAGTTTCTTTTTCCTTTTTTTTTACGATCGGAACTAACCTGGCTGGTCGCGAGCGAGCATGATGTTGACCTACAAGCGAGCACCGCACGTCTCTCGATGCTCCTCTCTGGAGAGAGAAAATGCGCGACCAGCTGGCCGCGATTAATTCATTCACGAATAAATTATCAGAGAAAGAATTCCTCTCGTGCAGCGTAATAATTTTCATTGAAGGGACGTTTAATCGCGAGCCGAGGGAAGAAGGAGAGCGAGAAAGAGAGAGAAAAGGGGCCGAAACGAAAATAGGCGAGCCCCGCGAGCCTCACGAAAGAGATGGTCCGCGTACGTTCTCTCGTGCCGACGCTGAATATTCATAAAAGCAACAAAATAAATTGTGTGAGTGTGTAGAACGAAGCAACGAGTTCACTTTCACCTCTTTGTTTTCGGCCGACGCACACGACAGAATGAAACGATGCGGATGCCGCGAGCTAGAAATCCAATAATCCGCAATGACTTGTATGAAAGTTCAAATTTAAATAAGAAAAAAAAATCTTATACTTTTTGGTTAAAATTGTAAAAAAATTCCATTATTGAACTGCTTCACTTCACTGATTGTTTATAAAAAGATAAAGAAGTGGCAAATTAATAAAAAAATTTAATATTAATTATAGCTGATGAGCGCATTTTGTTGTTTTATATGAATTGGAGTTTCAAATTTCGTATTTGCAAACAGAATTTCATTAGGAAATAATTAAAATCTAGTAATTTTTAACCGAATTTACATGTAGTACCCATGAATTTTAAAATTGCAAGGAAATCAATTTTCTGAGGACAAAAAATTTATTGCGTTTTAATTAATTTCATGCTAGTTAATTAATTTATTTGATTTTTATCAAAAATTTTTATTAACTAGAAATTGTAATTAAAAAAAAAAATATCAAATAATACGTTTTATTAAAATTATTTTATTTTATTTATTTTAGTAACTAAATAAATAATATTTTAATACCTAACTATACTTATTATCAATTAAAAATATTTATAATTAATTTTATCATGTCACATAAACCCACGTGCTTGTGATTTTACGCATTGGAAGTCAAAGGTCCAGGTCCAAGTTGCGAAAGCACCCCTAAATTTTTAATTGCAAACTCCACTTCCGCTGCGGATGCTGAAGCGTGCGAACCCTTCCTTTGTTTAGGGCGCTATTGACATGTTTGACGGAATCCCCAAAACTGAGGCGTTCACTTTGCTAATCGAATTACAATCAGGCAGCAACAGCCCTTGGGCAGGGGTGGGCGTTGCGAGGACAGGTGGTGGCCATGGCGAGAGGCCCTTTGGCTTAAGTTCGGCGCGAGGGGCGCTTCGGGGGCGCGGGAGTCGCGGCTCGTCGACGCTCGCCTACCTTTTCTTTGGTCCTTCCTGCGTGTTTCTGTAACGACTTGGCGATCAGAGCTCCTTTACTCTCTGCCATTTTGCCTCGAGTCGAAGAGTTGGCCTGCAAATCCACGCGACTTTGCTTGCAAACAGAGACTGAACGGCGGCCAGATGAGCAGCCGTCTTCGCCGAACTGACGTGCGGCCGCTCCGGCCGCCGACATCTGCCGGCCGCCGCGACAACTTCCGACCGCCGTGCTCGCGGCTCTGGCGAGCGGCGCGCGAGACTCCGCGTTTTCAACATAGGCAACGTGCTGCGCTAGGACACGTCGCAGGTTGCATACTTTGCTAAAACTGGGCGTTTGTAATTCAATAATGTTAATTTTATTGTTCTGAGAATAGGATTTTTTGAATTCATAGTTTTTCCAAACAATTTTGATCAAAAATTTGTTGACGATAAAGTAAAGAAGCCAATAGGAAAATTGATAAAACATTATCAATAAAATTAAATCCCAGAGCAAATCATTATGAAAACAGAAGATACAATCAATTTTAGACATAATTTCCATCCATTTTTTGCTTCTGCACTAGATTTGGTAATTGCTAATTGCTTACTTCTTGATACGAATGCGTATTTTTAATTTGTTTCAGATATGCACTTATAATAAGCCCTATTTGTAGTTCTAGAAATTTTTAATTCCAGGTTATTATATGGTAAAATCGTTCATTAAATAAAAACACCTTTGGCTTTATAAACTATTTTAAATGCATTCAAATTTCGCTGGGTGAATAAATTAATTAAATATAATTTCTATTTCATAAAAACAGAATAAAAATTGAGTTATATAGTGGAGTTAAGCATTCCTCATTCAAGGTTTTGGAAGTTTCCAGAAACAATGCAAAAAAAAAATATGGATTGCATGCGTCGGAAAACCGCAGTGGCTGCAAAACAGTGCAATTAGAGTGCAATTAAGGTGCGTGGAAATTCCACAGTATTACGTGCACGGCAGGCAACAGGGCTCAACTACGCGGAAACTTGAAGGATCCCTATTATGAAGAAAATGAAATAAATGAACAACAAGCCATAATAGCTGGAACAATGCCATTAAAGCGGCGCCGGGCAGATCTTCACTGCAACATCGTGATTAATAGATAAGTGGACTTCTCTACATTGCTGTTAAGTATAAAAATGTATAAATCCGATTATTTCAAGCGCAAAGTTTTTTCATTGCCTCCTCCTCATCATAAACAGGGGCGGAACGAGACTATTGTAATAAAAGTAAATTAAATCAAAAACCTACATTCAAAATCAAAAAAATTTACAAACATATGATATATAAATGCTGGTCCTTTTTTTATTTGAATTTAACATGTTTTAAATTTTAATATTTTATTTAAAATAATGAAATTGTTTAATTAAAAAGTTAAAAATATGAAAAAAGTAAAATACAAATAGAGGATTATATGTATATGCTGTTAATAAATTGTGTTAAGTTTAAATGATTAAATATAATGCATATATATTTAAAAAAAAAAAAATATGTAATATTATAATATTCTTTGCTAGTATTTGGCTAGTATTTGAAAATAATAAAATAATTGTTGAGTAGCAAATAAAATTCCAGTCCACATTACGTAATTACAATAAGTTCTTAAATTATTTAATTCTATAGCTTTCAATAAAAGATTATAAATATACAATAAAATAAAAAAGAATAAAGCTAGGCATCGACATTTTATTTTAAACGATTGGCCACAATTTAAATAATTTATCATGTGTGAAGCTTTTTTTAATAGTTTATTTCCTAGATAAAATACAAACAAGTCCTCTTTTCCCAACTTGGCCAATTTCAATTAGCCGCGGACGAGATCGCAGATGAAAAAGTGAATTTAATTAATAACTAATTAGCACGTTATTCCGCCACTTGCTGATGCACTCGCCAGTGCAGTGTGGTCGTTTTCCTTGACTCTAATTACCCGGCACGCTCGACCTCCCGCGCGCCTTTTCCCTGCCGATCGACCATGTGGCCCCGCGTGCAATGAAACCGATCGAGTGCATCCGACGAGGTGCATCTCAAGTGTCGCGCGCATTTACCCTTGCGTGGCGCGCGTATAAAAGGCGGGGTGGCTTCTCGGCAGCCGTTCACTTCAAGAAAATGCGCTCGACCGTTCTCGTCTGCCTGTGTGTGGTGGTGGTCGCGGCCGCCGCCCCGCAGAACACCGGCGGCCGCAAGTACACCGACAAGTACGACCACGTCGACGTCGACGCGATTTTGAGGAACGACAGGATTCTCACCTCCTACGTCAAGTGCATGCTCGACCAGGGCCCCTGCACTGCCGAGGGAAAGAATCTCAAAAGTAAGTTTTTTTTGACGTGAAAAATATTGCTCTTTTTGCTCCAACGTTTTGATAATAGATGATTGAAATTTTTCTCATACTGATTAAAAATATGGGTCGACTCGTGATGACTGTAATTAATTTTTTGGATTAGTTTAATTTATTTTTATTATTTTCTTGAAAGAATTTAAATTTTTTTGCTTAAACGATAGGTAATTGCATTTTTATTAGAAGCTTTTCAAAAACATTGTTTGGTTCTCTAAATAAAAATTTGACCAACACCATAAAGATCATTTGAGATTTTTTGCTTTTAAACGATTTTTCCTGGGTCTTTTCATTAAAACCAACATTATGACATATTGAATCGTTTTTTTAAAGTGACGTCACCAAACTAGCAATTCTTTTTAGTGCAGATGAGTACAGAAGTAAAATTCTTGTTGTAGTTTTGTTTTTTGTGTTTTAAGAGTTTCTATTGCTAGGCGGCTTCTGTTTAATGACAACAGCTACTATTTTAGAACACGAAATACGATTTGCAAACGGTTAAATATCTTTTTTAATTTTAAAGTCAAGTTTATTTGTAAATATGAAAGTTTAGGCATTGTCATTATTTTTTCCACTTATATTTTTAAAGAGATTTGAACGCCTGCAATTTCAAAAGTAATTCTAACTATTAAAAGACAAATTATTTTTTTTTGTATCTCTTTTTTTACTTTTCCGTTGGGCAACAATAAATCATGTACGGTAAATTATATAAACTTGCTTAGTCACTTGAGTATTTGTGCAGACCTTTGCCTTGCAGTTAGGCCTTTTGCTCAACATTGGTGCCTGAAATTTTGCCTATAGCGCTGGGTTAACCGCAGAGCCCATTTGTCAGCACGATTTTTTAATTTCAACTGCGTCCTTAATTATTATCATCATCAATAAATAGGAAAATCCATTCGCAGAGAGTGGGAAATGTAAGACGATGTGTACTAATTAAACATTTTAAAAAACCAGCACAATAAGTTAAAATAGATTTTGCATAAAAATATAAAATGCTAGACGGAGAAAATTTAAATTACCCTTCCCCAATTTTATTTCATGTATATTCAAATTAAAAATTAAAGTGAAGGTTTAATTTAATATTAAAAATTTCAGTTGATTTGCCCGACGCTCTGGAGACAGACTGCTCCAAGTGCAGCGAGCGCCAAATCGAAATTGTTCGCAAAGCTTCAAGGCATCTGATGGAGAAGCGACCTGCCGACTGGAAGAAGCTGCAGGACAAATACGACCCTCAGGGCACTTTCCAACCTCGCTTCGAGCGTTTCATCAACGAAGGCGCCGTCAAGGCTTAAACTTGCATTTCTTCTCATAATTTAATTATGGTTAAAAACGATTAGTATTTATAAATTAGATAATTATATCCGATAAGCGATAAAGTGGCCTGGTGATCAACTGATTATAATTTAATAAATAGCATCTGAATTGGCGTGGAATTCAAGCCAGCCGCATATATATGATGATAAAATCAATGTGAATTAGATAGTATTTCTTTAATTGTAAGATCCACTTATTGTATAGTAAGTGGAAATAGTTATGCCAAAATTTATATTATAAAACTTAATTTTGATACTATCTAAAGAAGGAGAATGGGTGGAAAAAGTTACTTGAAGTTAAATGGTAGACAAGTAATTATATAAATTGGCGACAGATAAAATTAAGACTGATGCATTTCAAATAAATATAACACCAAATAAAGGAGATGAATTTTTATTCGATAGCTTAATCATACCAGCTGAATGAAACCGATTTTTAACTCTAACTAGATTTAATAATTTTTTTTTTACCATCTGCCAAAAATTAATTTTTTTCTTATCTTATTTGTATCCTAAAATTCTGAATACATAAGTTAGGATGAGAAAATTTCTCGAATCATTATTATAAATAAAAACTAAAATCCTCATTATTTGAATTGCAAATGTCGTCAATGCATTTCCTGACGATTAAAATTAATATGAAATATTAATTTAATTTAAAACAACAATATTATTAAACTTTTTTGCATATCCTCCAATTATTATATTTTTAAATGATTTTCTGAGTGGGAATAAAAAAAAATTAGGACAAGGGTTTAAAGTTCTTTGACTGCGGATGTTTATTCTGAACTCTGCCTTTTAAATTCAAATCCGACGTGGCCCTGCAAGCACATCGCAATTGTCATCGTTATTTGCGATTCGTCTGCAATGAGTAGGTGCGATTTCCTCGCATGTGCATGTGCTGAGCGTCCTCGTTTTTCAGCATCCACGAAGACGTCAGCGCTGCTTTTGCAAAGGTCATTGATATTTGACGGCGGGACCTGCAGTGTGAAATGAGCGCCGGCTGTGCGATTCAATCGTGCGTAGAATTCTAAGGAGCCGCCGTGTGCCAGTTCTCTCTTCGGCTGTTTGTCCAGCTATTAGGGGCACTATGTTTTTTTTTCGTTCATCTAAATAGGTTCAACGAAAACAAATTCACGCAGGTGAAATTTCGCAGATACGCTTAAGCTCGTGTTTCATTGTTTGCCGATGAAATGGAAATTCGAGGCGGCGAATAATTTGTGCGTCTTCGAGAGGGACAATAGAGGCAAATTTTCTATTTGAAGAGAAATTTCACCTGTCAGGAAGAAGCAAGACTGATCGCGAGTTGCTAGGATTCTAAATGAGACGCGTGTCTTCTCTATTATTAGAACCAGCATTAAATACTATATTTAAATTTTAATGCATTAATATCAAAAATTAAAAAATGCTGACTTCCATTCTAAGCAAGTAAAACTATTTTGTTTACACTGGTATACTTATTGTGCTATTTGTAGCACTTTATAATTTAAATCATACATTATTAACATTTTTTTTTTCAAAAATTTTCGCAAATTTACATTTTCTTGTTTATATTTAGTTTAAACATTATTTAAATCACAAATTAAAATTCTTCCTTGTCACTCTATTCACATACGCCGTACACCTCGTCTTTGACTAATGATGAAATAAATAAATTCATTTAATGAAAGCATCTCTCTTTTGTTGTTTGTTTGCCAAGCATAAAATTGAAAAATGCCACAACAAACAAAATTCTTTTTGATTGCATTCACATTATTTTCTTCCACACTTCAATTAGGTTAGGATAAAAAACAATAAATATATGAACTGGTCCAATCCAAAAATTTATTCATTTTACATGATAATAGAAGAAAATTTTTTAATTTGTATGAATTCTTTCAAACTCGCTGAAAATAGCATTAATCCGAATGTGATTCATTTGTGAATTCATTTGATAAAATTCAAAACAAGTTATTTATTTCCGCATGAACTAAAAGCAGGAAATATTAACAATTTACTTTCATTTAAATTCTTTAAATATTGAGATGGTCTAATTTTTGTTCATAGGTTTTGACAGAGGACATTATACTCTGTCGCAATGTTTGCAGTCATGACCGCGTTATTTGTGTAGTTCATGCAGAAAGCATTATCAGGTCCAGAATTAATGGAAAATGTTGCAAAAACATGTGGATCAAACGGAACGCTGTCTTCATATACACACCAAACAACATCGTGCAGAGAATTTGTGGGACTCGCCCCAATCCATACGTTTGATGAACTGGTGTTGCCTGCATCAATTAAAATAAAATAAAACACTACAGTAAATTGCAAATTATTTTAATCATCATACCAAATGCATCTAGTACGCATTGCACATCACTGGGATTGATAAAATATGAAAAAATTAAGCCAGCTTCATAACACGCTCTCCAAGCAAACGTGTAGTTGTACTGTGAAAAAATTTATTGTAAACACGTAATTTTTCAGCATTTAAATTAAATTTTGTGTGCCTTATTTGCAGTGTGGAAATATTTTTTACCGCAGTTGCTTTTCACAAGACCATATGGAGTATTGCACGGAGGAACTGTAATTTTTTTTTAATTAAAAGCTTGGTTTTTTTCCATTCTCACCGTCGCAGTTGTGTATTGGAATGGAAATTGTGAACTATAAACAAAATTTATGCGTAAATGATTTACAGGCAACATCTGCTTTCGCACGTTTTCCGGAATATAAATTTTTATGCAGGGAGGTTCTGGCTCAAATTTTTCCTAGGATTTGCATGAACTTTACCAATTCTTCCAATTTACATAAACAAATACCAGCGACATTTGTGAGTCCATAGTCGAAATCACGCTATCCAGGACATCAGGAGACTTTTCATTGCTGCATTTGATCATTTGCGCCGCCTTATCGCACTCGTCCATTCCGGCTAATTTTCAAAATTAAGCCCCATCAACTAACTTAAAAATAAGTTCCATTTACAGGTTGTGTTCCAGCATTCATCAAGAGCTAATAAGTTTCTTAGCAATTCAGTCAGATTTGTGTTGGCCAAAGCTTCCAGGGTAACAATAATACTGTAGTCCAAAAGTTTCCCATTCTCTAGCTAAATATAAATTTAAATTTATTAAGTTAATCTTTTTTTATTAAATATTACCAGTCCTGCATATTCTCCAACACATTTCAAAAAGCACTAATATATCAGCTTAGTTATTAAATTTAAATCAATTTTATCGTAAACGTCAGACCTTAATACGAATGTCAAATTTCATTGTTAAGTTCAGCAATGCGTCAATCTCGACTGAAAACATTTAACAATGGTTATATTTTGTGATTTTTTAAAGATAAATAATTATCACTCTGGCTAACGTTGAATATCAGGGCACATTCACTGGCAACTGCAGCCCCTCCGGCTGCCGCTTTTGAGTTGTCGCGTGACTTAAAATATTTAAAAGACATTAAAAAACGTAATGAATTTGACAAGTTGGCCACCTCGCAGATGTATCTAAACTTTTTCTTCTCGCTGAAATCAAACAGCTGCACGTGGGACGAATTGATGAATACGGCAAGCGTGTTTTCTATGCCACCAGCATTGTCCGGCTGTCCCGGCGCCCAAATCGTTTTGTCGCGCAAAGTTCGATTGGATGTGCAAAAACCATATTTCGCTTCGCAACCCATGTCCACACCAGAAGTCCAGTAAAAGTCAGACTGAGTTTCTTTGTCTTTATGAAATCATATAGATAGATTTGAGTTTGTATATTTTGTAAAAATAATTTGATACTTTCTACTGCACTCTTCAATGCGGCGTATTTGGTTTGGTATTCCAGGCTGAGGAGAGACATCCCGATTTTGCAGCAGGCATCAAGAGCGCCAGCAAACTAAATTAATTCAATTATTGTTAACATCAATTAAGAATGCAATTTTTTTTCTTATCGATAAATCAATAAAAAATATTTATTTACAGTTTGTGTTGCATTTGCGTAACTGAAAACGTACAAACGTCCGTTCATTCTGTACCATTTTCCATGCTTTTTCAAGTCTGGAAAATTAAGAATTAAATTTTTTTTCGAATCTCGACGAGCTTCTGAGATATCAGCATGGGAAATTTATGTGGCCAAAAATTTTCCCTCTAATTTAACATGAATCTAGCAAATTGCTCTAGTAAAATCCACATTTGAGTAACCATTGATTAACATTAAAATTAAAAAATAAAATGGTTTCATAAAAAAATTACCTAGACACGATAATTTTATAAGAATTCAGTTACCTAGCAAGCGTGTTGTATTATCATACAAGTAAAAGTCATCGATCTGAAATTAAAAATCATGTTCATTAAATTGAAATTTTTATATTAAAATATGAGGTGGCCTCCATGAAAAATTGAACCAAAACAAAAAACAAAATTTAAAATAAAAGACACGTGAGTTGCAAAGTTTCTTTATTGATAATATCATCAGGCTTTAAACCGCTATAATGAATATGAATTAATGGTGAAAGAGTTATTGCAAAACTACAAAAACAAAAACTTTTTCAAAGAAGCCAATTGGAAGCTTCATGATGTGATTTTTCCCTAAATTTCCAGCTCAATAGAACCATATATTATCATGAAAATCTAATTTTTTAAATTGATATTAAAAAAATACACCTTTTTTTCTCTCATCTAAAAATTCCTCTCCAAAACTAATGGAGGATTTGCAGCAACGAATTTAATAAATTTTCATTGTTTTTAGGTCATACGAAATAGTTCCATCAAACTTTTACCTTTTCTTGGACCAGCAAAAAACAATGCAAAACAAAATTTCTTTGCTAAATTGGGCCCCATTGCTATTAACTAAAGAAGTAACAAAGATTGTTTTGTGTCTTTTCAACGGGGTTAATGCCAATTTCATATATTTTTTTTAAATTAATATAAATAGTAATATTAAAGGAACCAACATTTTTCGTGCAGTTGATGGTTGGGCAAATGGGATTTAAGCATCTAGGAGCTAAAGTTGGACGGCCCTGAAGATATTATATTATAATATTTTTCAGTATATTTAAAATAATTATATACATACTTGGCAGGATAAGAAGTACGTGTCGGTGCACATGCGGTCTGAAAAATAAAGCGACGAATTTGACTTGATCACACGTATGTGCAAACAATTTTGGCTTTGGTTTATGTTGTCTGGCTGATTAAAGCCCCAGGGAATGTTAGTGCTGTTTATTTCAGCCGATCCATTTTTCTTGCACCAGGAGAAGTTTTGCGGACCCACGCGGTTTGCAGCAGTCCAAAAGTTTGTTGTATATTTCCATGTCGGTGCTTAAATTTTTACCGCATCAGCAAAAATCGAATTAGAAAAATTTAATAATGATGTTTTTTACAAAGGCTCTTCAAGGTGTTCATTTTTGCTGCAGTGTCAAATGTAAGAGGCTCCATTCCAATTTTAAAGCACGTGATGAAATTTTGACGCCAGTCAACCTGATGGATTCACATGAACTGAATGATGAATGATGACGTTGATAAGTTGAGTCATATTAACCAGAAATTTTCCAAACACAAATTGTTGACCGCCAGCCTGAATCCAAAAACCGTATTGATCTGGATCTTTATTTAAAAATAAGTTTACAAAAGTAAAATTAAAATATAGTCAACCTTTTAGAGAACCGTCTGTGTCAAAAGTTTTTGGCTAGATTTTCTTGTAAGATTCAAATTAATTTTAAGGAATAAATAATGATCTCACGTCTAAATCAAAAGAAGTGTCGCATTTTCCACTAAGAAGCTCCTGATGATTTTATAAAAAAGTTTAATTATTAAAAAATAAGCTAAAACTTTTACTTGTATTGTAGGAGGTTTGGTTGTTGTTGTAGTGGGTTTCGTAGTTGCGGTTGTTGTTTCAGGTGTGGTAGTTGTAGTTGCAAAGTTAATTGTTGAGGTTTCAGAGCTACTTAAAAGAGTTGAAAACGTCGTCTTGATAAACGCGTCAGTATTTGAACTGGAAGCTTGAACTGGATTTGACGCAATTTCCGAAGTCAAACTTTATAATTAAGAAACACTTATAATTTATTTGTTAAAAGTAATCATAATTTATTTGCATTGAGCTTTGCTGCGAGCTTATCTGATTTTCTGTGAATTTTGAAAGCACTTCGGTGCTCAGGGCGAGATCAGTTGATGTCGTCATTGGGCTGATGAGCATTATTAAAAGTAATAAAAACTGATTATTTTATGCAAATTTTTACGTAATTGTTTCATCTGTGGACGTATTGGGATCCAAACTTGACATTGGCGCACTCACATCAGTGTTAGAATTTAATTCGGAGGAAAAACTTTCAGCTACTGTGTTCGTATTGATGGTTCCAGTTAACTCATTTGACATTTTGTGTGTTGTCTAGTTTGAGACATTTCATTTATTAAAATGAATAAATACCAAGCAAGATATTTAAACAACCTTTGCACTGTTGGATAACGTTGTGTTAAAAATATTAGACGCAGTTCGTGTTTTGAGATTTTTTCCAAAGCAAGAGTCTGAGCCGCAGCATTTAATTACATGCGCTCGTCTAATGGCATTTGGTCGTGATTCTGAGTGTTTTTAAATAAATTCACAGTGAGATTTTTACGAAAACCACTTACTAAGTTGGAGAATTTTTCCCGGTGTCTTCAACTTTGCATAAACTTCCACGGAAAACTCCAACTTTAGAAAAAGGACTTTCATAAATACTATTTAGACTAAAAATTCAATACCTGCAAAACAACAGAAATGATGGCGATCGAGAGCATTTCAAACTTCATAGCGTTTTTTGCTAGAATTGTGAATTATGGGAGCGAAATATCAAAACGGGAATTCCTCATTGTGAAAAATGGGACAAAATGTTATTATTTAACGCTGATTCATTCGTAATTATTTTTGTTGTTATCAATAACTTCCAATTAATTAAAATAAATTTAAAAAAAAAACATGCAAATTTTTGTTTCTTGAGAAAAAAAAACATAAAAATAATTTACTGCTTAAATTGATTTATAAAAATTAAAACATGTTCTTTTACTTTGTTTCGTTTCATATTTTTTTTATTACCAACTGCTATACTTCATAAACATGTAATGTTTATTAATGCATTGTTGATGGAAAATAATTTTTTAATAAAGTAATTTAAACTTAACAAATGAAGAAGTCGTTATATCATGAAATAAATTTATAACATTAATAAAAATTTTATATTTTTCATTCGTCCATCTCCAAATTCAAAAGAATTTGATTTGAAATTGTTTAAGATTTATAGGGAATAAATTAAGAAAGATCAATAAGATTGAAGTATATAAAAATTCGAGTGCATACATTTGTGTTGGAGGTGTGTTGGAGTATCAGTGGTGACAGCACGACAGAAAAGAAAAATTTACTGTGTTTTAACCGCTGCCTAGAAAATATGGGAAACGCGGCGTCCAGTAGCAAATGAAAAATGTCACTGTTTCCTTCTCTCTGGTTTCCGCTTACTGATGGATGGCTAACTCAATTTTTTAGTGCTCGTTTTGTCGTTGACTTTTTTAGTGCTACTTTTCTGCCAATTATAATTAAGATTGATAAATAACATGACATATATTAATTTTATTGACTGACATCTGACATTATTAGTAATTATATCCGTCTTTGAAATTGCGGATATACTTAAAAATTTGTTTAGAAAAACGGTTAAAATTAAGTATCATCTTTAATTCTTTATAATAATAATGTAGTCTTTTCTGATAACTTTTTTTTAATAATTTTTATTTACACTTTTTTAGTTATTATTTAAAATATTATTATAAAGTATTAAGACTATTTAGTATTTTTAAACATTATATTTTATTTTTATTATAACAATTCATGGTTTTATAATTTTACTTATGATACTGAAATATTTTATAATTATAAATAATTGTTGGTTATTTACATCATGTTGGAATGAATTGAAATGCAAATTATAATAGTTGTGGGATCTCAAAAGTAGCTGTCAAAATTTATATTCAAATTTAAAAAACATGGTTTTTCTTCTTAAGGCATGACTTGAAGTTGAAATATAAAGTATAACGGAATAATTTTCAAATTAAATATATATCACCGCCACTTTCTCAACTAATTCACATTTTATAACACGCGAAAAACATTTTAATTAAATTTTGCATGTTGCAATTTTATGATCCACCAACAAGGAAAATAAAACGCCGCTCGATTTGCGCACCAGCGTGCTGCATGGGATTTCCTGCGGGCAACGCAGATGCAAAACAAAGTTGCCGATCTGCGTCAGTGCTGACAAAAAGCGAGCGCCGCAAATCGCGATGTATAAAGGATAAAAAATAGGCGAGCGAGGAGAATGGGAAGAAAAGATGATCATCACTCGCTCGCACGTCTCTTCTTTTGTGCACAAAGAGTGCGGTGACTCTGCAAGTCGCGCTGCTATTTTTTACCACGGCAAAAAATAAATAAAGAAAGAAAATCAGTCAGCAAGTTCAAGGCTTAGCGCTCATTGGTCGTACCTTTGCAAATAACGCCCAGCTCTTGAGCTCCAGCGGCGGACAACTATAAAAGCGGCCGGGACGCTCATCCCAACCATCAGACACAGCCAACATGAAGTTCCAGCTTGTTCTGCTCGCCGCCCTCGTGGCCGTCGCCGTCGCCCAGAAGGACAAGAAGGAAACGTACACCACCAAATTCGACAACATCGACATCGACCAGATTTTGAAAAGCGACAGACTCATCAAAAACTACTACAACTGCCTTATGGAGAAGGGACCTTGCACCGCTGACGGAAAAGAGCTCAAAGGTAAATATATCACTAATTTTTTAATTTTGATTCGAGCTTAAAAATAATATTATTATTATAATTTTTTTTATTTCTGTATTTTAACGTAATTATTTGTTTGAATAATTATTTTTTTTTATTGAAAGTAAATGTCATAATTAAAAAAATTATTGCTATTGCCTATGAAAAAAGCCTCGTTCTATAGTTTAAAGTTTGGCTAGCTCAACTTCTGACTTTGATGATTATTTTAAGGATAATCTTAAACCAATAAGTTTCAACCATGGTTTATTTTCTCCGTGTCACGTACTTCTAAAGTCGGATCGGCCAGTCTCTGAAAATCTTTAAATTATTATTTTCAAAAAATTTAAGAAAGACTTCGTGATTATCTGAACTTTAATAATAAAAAAACAGACTAAAATCAATTAAATAGATTTATACATTTTTTAAAAGGCATTTTGAATAACAGTTTCCTTTTTGAGTCAATCTTGGAAATGACCTGACAATAAGTGGTAGTTTTTAAACACTCCTTATGATATGCAAATATCAATAAGGAAATGATTTTAGTTTGAAAAATAAAAAATAAACGTATTCTGTTCACGCAGTTTTTTTAGATTGCACTAAAAATTGAAAACGATCAAAAGAAATGTGTTTTGAAATAGAATTTTTTTTAACGTGTCTCGACTCCAATATCTTTGTTCACTAAAATTAATGTAAATTTGATCATAATTTTCCAGAAAACCTCCCCGACGCCTTGAAGAGCGATTGCTCAAAGTGCAGCGAAAAGCAAAAGGACGGTTCTGATAAAATCATGAAATACTTGATCAAAAATAAGCCTACACTGTGGGCTGAGCTGGAGAAGAAATACGACCCCACTGGCGAGTACCGCAAGAGATCCGGTCTGTAAGAACGCATCACGAAACTGACGATTTTGATTGAAAGATTTTGATTTGGAATATACAAACATACGCTCTCCGATACATGAATAAAGTATAATTTTTATACAAAACACAAAACATACTTTATTTTTTATTTATAAAAATATAGTATTGTAAACCCTGATAAATGTGCATATTTTCATATCTGAAATTTGTATTTAGATCAATGAAAGGAGCTTGAGCAAGATTTTCCTAGTGGAAATTTATTCCAAGGCTTCTATTGGCATTTAAGAAATTTTTGTATGTGCCATTAAATTTATTTTAAAATAAATATTAATATAAAAAATAACTAAAATGGTTTTTCATTTTGAGGCAAAATTAAAAGAACTGCAACCGGAGAATTTAAACAATAAGCAAACTGGATGAAGGCGATAAACAATATTTAGGCATTAAATAATCCCTTTAGTTAAAGAGATTTTTTTTACTGTGCACAAAGGTGTTCAATGAATTTTCTATATTTATTATTTTTGCCTAGAACAATTGCAAAATTTTTAACAAATATAATTATGTATAGACAATTCAAAGAAAATTCATTTAATTAAAGACTGTTCTGAAAATTTTTATTACTTTTTATAACGATATGTATTTTTAATTCCAGAAATTTGACAGATAAACTTTCTTCAATTACCAACCACCACTCATGTTTCTGAAACTCTAATCTTTCTCAGCATAACAAATTTTTAATCATTTTTATAAAATCTATGGAATTATAATACCAATGTGAAAATAATAATCAGTAATGGCTTCTCCACAAATAATTTGGCCTAATCATGGCCGTGTAATTTGTTTAATGTGTCAAATTGATAATTTTCGTGTGCACATTACGTCGACGTTGAGCCACATTGTCGCCGCGACGTCCCCAAAAGTGATAAGAACTCACCGAGAAATTATTCACCTTGTTGCTTTTATCACTTGCCCTCCAACACTAAATTATTTCCTTCTGCGTGGAAGTGACCAGACGATTTTCCTTATCATTTTATACATTTGTGTTGGCTACGTTGACGAAAAATGTTTTACGCAAATAAGGATAAAATGGTCATTACTTGTGATTCGGTGGCACCGTGTGGACGTGAAAATGTTGGTCAAAAGAAATTATAAATTCTTCCAAGTGTGCTTAAATTCTTTCATGGTTCTGATGATCATAGTACTATTGAAAGTTTTATTTGATTCTACAGAGGAACAAGGGAAGTCAGGTAATTAAGCACATTGGATATTTTATGAAAAAACATTTAATTTTATGTTAAAAAAACTGCAAAATATTATACATTTTAAGTGGAAGTAAACGTTTTAACTTTTCGCTTTATAAATTTTGTAAAAAAAAAAATCTGTTTTCTCGGGTTAATTATTTAAACGGTGTTATTTTGAAAGTTCTGTTGAAAAATTGAGCAAAATAAAATCTTTTTGGATTAAAATATTTATAACATTTTCATATGTTGATATATGTTTCATTTTTCATTACGTTTATTTATTTGATGCTATATTATTTGATAGTTTTATAATTTTATTTTTTAAATAACAATTTGGCCCACTTTTAGCTCTTCAAAATGAACCACAGAAACCAGGCAAAATAAAAGAGGAGATGAAAGCACGACTAAAACGAGAGGAAGAAACAGAATATGATGAAGAAGATGCAAAGCCAGTGGTGAAACCTCAATCGAATAAGGTAGTGGCCAAACCTAAACAACCTGAACCTACGAAAGCTCCGGAAAAACCAGTGGTGGTAGTTACGGAACCACCTGCAAAACCAATCGAGAAGATAACACAAGAAAAACCTAAGGAAGTTGCAACGACCTCGAAGCCGTTGAGTAAAAGGGAAGAAGAAATCCTAAGAAAACAAAAGGTGCTGAACGAGACGGGAAAATCAATGGAAGGTCTCGACCAGTACGACCCAAAACTGGTCCAGTTTACCAGAGACGCGATTCTCATTTCACCGGAACCAGCCACACCAAATGACACTACTAGTAAATTGTTGACTGATATGAATAAGGAACCCTCTGCACAGCAAATAGCAACACAAATTATTCACCATCTCAAGAAAAGGGTAATTTAATCAACTTTTTATAAATCCTCTTAAAATAAACTAAATTTTACAAAATTTAATTTTTGCAAGAAATCAACGGAAACATTAATTAATTTCACTCTGATTTTTTTCCAATTTGCATAAAAATTATTTTGGCTACTCAAATATGATCAATTTTCCTATTAATTGATAGTGAATTACAATTTTTTATTATTTTTACTAAAGTAAAACCAAAAAGGGTAAATTATTAGTTAATTTTTAAACCAATTAGAGGCGGATCATTGAATAAAAAAATCAAATAAAAAACGGACTAAAAGAAGTAAATTATTTTGCTGAAAATCAGACTAAACTCGACTAGTTTTAAGTAGTAGTGAAACTCGAGAAGCTAAAATGAAATTGAAATTCAAGAAAAATGGATTTATTGTGGAGTGCGGAGCTTGGGATGGCGTATCACTTTCGAATTCGATAGGATTGGAGATTTTTTACAATTGGACCTCGCTTCTAATCGAGGCTGCCCCATCCGGACTGAGAAATATATTGAAGGTGCGCAACAGGGCTTGGATTGCTCCTGCTTGCTTGAGCACAAAACCAGTTGCGAATATGGTAGGAATTGAAAAATATGTTAAAAATTCATTGCTTTAACCCAGTGGATGTTTTTTTAAACCACAGGCACAATTTCAAGACAACAGTTATGCGGGCAAGATTCAAGGCCCGGCGGGAAATTCAACTGATAAATCGATGGTTAATGTTCTCTGCATTCCCTTCATGACGTTCATGCAGGCGTTGAACAGAACATCAGTCGACTATTTCAGTCTGGACGTCGAAGGAAATGAAATGGACATTTTGCCTCTCATCGATTTCCACAAGATTAAAATAGACGTAATTAAATAACTATTTGTGTAAAACCAAATCATTGCATTGATAATTAATTATGATAGGTGATGACGATAGAAAACCAGTTTCAAAAAGGAAGATTGGAAAAGATGTTGGAAATCATGCACAAAAACAACTTTACTCTACATACGGCTACACATATTGATTTCATATTCATTAACAATCGTGTGACTTTGCCCTGAAAATCATCAAGGGAAAGGGGTAACAAAACTGAGGGAAATATGTAAGTCTGTGTTGGTCCGATTTTTCTTGCAATTAGAGGGGTTGAAATGTAACTTTTTATTTACTGTTCTCTGTGTCAATAAAAAAACTTCTGTTTCATAAACATGATGTACTGTAAAATCAAAATATTAATTCAAGTAACATCTAAATAATTCACCAGTCAAGTATAGCATTTGAAAGGTGAATACACCGCGCTTTTTTTATGTGTACAAAAAATTTAATTGAATTCTTATTTTTTAAATGATGACACTTTATTATTATTTTATTGGCACTAATTTTGTTATGCTTGAGGAAAATTTAAGTAGAATAGCGGCTAGAAAATTCAATTTAAAAGGAAAAGTGCAGAAAAAAACTCCCTTAAAAATATTTGAAGTGTTCTTAAGGATGAAATGAGTATGAGAGTTTTTTTGTGATTCATGATTCATTATTATTAAACAGAACCAATACAATTGAGTATTTAATGAAGGAAAACTGCAGAGCCAACGAAACAAAATTTCCTTTAAGAGAGCGTCAATTTGTTCCATTGTCAATCTCATCTCATTTGGGTTCTTTGAAAATTCATTCGTTGGCCACATTTCAGTGGTTCTAACATAAGAAAACGATGACGATGATCTTGTAAGGTGACGCAAACTTGCATTTGCCTTGTTAATTAGCACTTCTAGAAAAATCGCACGCCTATATCCTATACAAATATGTGGTTGATATTGTGTTTTTGCGTGACTCTTCTATCAAATAATGAAGTTGAAGGTACTATATGCACGTGGGATTGTTTTGTTAATTTAATTAATTAATCCCAGACCGTAAAAATGATAAATTAAACAATTCTTGCAAATAAAAAAGGAACGTTTTGAATTTTTGTACGTTCTTCAGGAATGCATCCTATTTATTGAAAATCTCCAGGAAATCGATGCAAACTATCATTTTGAAGTTGGACTTTTATTTTATGTACTACATGGGCAACCCGCGCATCTAACACGAGTTCCCGGTTGCATATTTTTTGCAGCTCACGCTCTGCGACACCTAATTTTCTGACCTTTTTCTAACGGTGAGAAAAAATCTGAAAGTTTACACAGTTCGCAATTATACTACACCCAATTTCACGAAGGTTTGAAAAATACCTTGTGGTGATAAATCGTTGAAAGTACAAAACGTGGCATTGTCCTCTTATTTTTCGCCTCTCACGACTCAAATTTAATTAACAAAACCATCATCCGTGAAAATATGCCTTGAACTTGAAGCGCATTAGTCAGCTTGGCAATTTTACTTCCTTACTCTTGAAAAGGTGACTAATCCCATCATTACAACAATTAAAAATAAAATAATTTCAAACTGAGACAATGCTACATTAACCAAGCCCGGTGGCTCAGTGGTTAGAATGCTTGCATTCTAATCAGTGGGTTCCTCGGCCCTCATGGGATCAATGCTCAGCCTGGGGCTGTTTGTGGAAACAAATAGTCTCTGGTATGCGAATCATTGATAACATTTCGGCTGAAACGTCGGGAATTTGGGAGGTATGGCGCAAGCTGTACCGACTCGCACTCGGAGGTTTGCCACGTTTCCTCCGAGCCACAAGCTGGAAGAACTCAGCTTGTGTGGCGAATGCCTGCGTTTCATTCCAAGTCCTTCGTGGCAAGGCCGGGTCAAGGGGTAAGGTCTCAAGGGGGGTGGGGGGCCCATGCGAGCACCACCAAATCTGCTAGAAAGCCCCCGACCAGGGGTCAGGTTGGTTGGGAAGCACAAGTGTGCCAAGGGTGCTCGACTACGGCAAGAGACCGACCTAATAGCCTAATAAGCTCACAGGTGCCATAAGCAAAAAAAAAAATGCTACATATAATGCCTTCATAAAGGGAATATAAATTAAAATCTCCAGGAAAATACAAAATTTTGACAAGAGGTCAGTGCTTTTACTCTTATATTTTGTAAAAAAAAACTAAATTTTAATTTTACGTATACAAAAACTTATTTTCTTTGTAACGTTTTCTATTTATCTGTAGTTTGACGTCATTTTTATAGTGGACTGGACACTGATATTAGCATGGCAGTCGGAAGCACTCCCGACAATAAAAATGATATGTAGTGAGTCGTACTCTTTTTTTTTTAATTGCAACACTGAATTCAACCGGCAGCAAAAGGCGTCCTGATTGTGAATGTGATCTACGGACGCATGCAAATAAAGCACAGTGGACACACAAACAAGAGCCTTTGAGTTATTTTCCTCTCGTACGTACACGAGCATTAACTTCCTGATTGTTGCTTCACTCGAGCGCTCTAATAGGGAAATAAATAGTAGAATCTGCTTCGATGCCACTACTGCCCCGATGACACAATTACACATCGACGTGCTTTGAGAGCTCTTAAAATTTATCGACTTCAAAGAAGTCAATTCTGTAAATAACATGTACTATTTATCTACCCTAATTAATCAGTTTAATACGTGTGTTGTCATTTTTCAGGTTTATGAGATAAACAAAGGATTTCTGAATCAAAATTTCGCAAAATTTAATATTTTTACCAAAAATAATTAGTTAATGCTGTTTTGGTTTAAAATAATTTTTACTTTTTAAAGGAATTTATTCTATTTGTAAGTAGCGTATATATTAAGACAATAAATATTTTAACCAAACCAAGCAACAGAATATTCCAGGCAAAATTAAAAGCTATTTTTAAGTAATTTAATTGTTCTTTTTAGTTTCTATAGTCGAAAATGTAGAACATTTAATTTACAATTAAAATGCAAATTGCTTTAAAATAATATCAATCAATTTCATGCTTATTAACCTGTAGCTGAAGATGTAAAAAAAAAATTAAGAAAAAAATTATTCCTGCTATTTGAAAAGAAACGCAATAAAAATATTACACAAAAACTTTTAATTTTTACAAATCTCCTCTGTATTAAAATTAATGAAAAAACTACGCAGTTCTAAATTTACTTTTTCAATTGAAACATCGAACGAGTGAAAAAAGCATCATGCAATTGTGATGACATATTCTTTACTGCAATATATTATATAATGAAAGATTAATTTTTAGCAGTAACGAGCCAACGTGAGGCAAACTACGAATGGATAGCATCTTATTGAGGCCCACGAGCGCAGAAAGATAAAATCGGCCACTTGATAAATTTTTCCTCATTATGCTGCTCTCATGCAAAGCCGCTTTTTGCTTCTGCTAAATTTGGTCAAGGCGACCGCCGGGTTTTCACGGGAGGGCGAAACGGACGCATTTTGCACAATTGCCGTTTCTATTGTTGTAAAATTAACGCCACTACTTTTCGGCCCGGCGCCTCTCCCACGGTGGCTGCACCGCTTTCAAAGTGCAACAAAACTCGTGAGAGAAATTGCGTTGGATTCTGCGATAGTGATATTAATAATGCAGCAAAAGTTGCGCATATCTGAAAAAGGCTATTTAAGGCTCCAGACGCAATAATTTAAATTCATATTTTCTCAATCCGAGACCAACAATAAAAAATTATATATACATATTTATGTTATTTTTGAAAACGTTCCTAAGCGTTAAACAAGATCATCGTCATCAACTTTTTCCTATGGTCAAAGATTTCAAAAGAAATACAAGATTAGTACCAAAAAACAGTGTTCTTCTTCAAACTTCGTGAGTCACCAGACAATTGATACAGCCTTGAGAGGCGGCAAAGAAAAATTTTGTTTTCCTCGTGTATCGTGACTTAATTTGCGGATGTCATTAAAAGAAGTGTGGCAATTAACTAAAAAATTTAAAGGCTAAAATAAGAAACATGAGAATATGCAGACATTAAAAAATATTTATATTTTATAACTATTTTTTTAACTCAACTTTACTTTAAATTGAACGCAATAATATCAAAACAACAATGGGCTTTGAAGTGTCGCGTAAATTGCATAATGCATATTAAATTAATATAAACGTTAAATATTTGTACATTAGACTTGAAAATTCACTTTTTTTTTAACAAGTTTTAACAAAATATTTATATTTGTTATGATTATAGGAATTTTTTTTATTTTATATTAAATAATTATTTAAATTTATTTCAATAATAAATTTTATGAATTAATTGACAAAATAATATATTTATAAGTGGTAAAAAACCGTTTAAATAAAAAGTGATATTTTGTTTGACTTGATACATAAACATCTACACTTTTTCTGACATGCCTATTGTTCTTGACTATTTTATAATAAATTTAATAAAATTACCGAAAATTACTTTAAAATGTCATCTAAAAGAGGAGGAAAGATAAAGGAATGAAAAAATACGACTTTTTCTACAAATTAATTAAAATTTGCCTCTTTCAATTAAAATGCTCAAATGACTTAGGGAAAAGAGATTTTTTTTATATATTTTTTCCAATTATTTTTTCTTACCATTTCCAGGCTAATGTGTGTCTACTTTAAAAAAGCCGCAATTAAATTCCACGGGGTTTAAAAGTTTTTGTTGCACAAGCAGCAACAAATAATTATTCAATTGCACGTCTCGTGCACTTTCCAGACAGACGAAGATTACGAGACGTCTGAGATCTAATTACAGGTGCTTTGACCGGGATATTACCGGAGGGATTTTCCCTCGCCCGAGATGAAAAATTCATCACTTTTATTCGCGCAGTGAATTCATTTCGCACCACTCGCGACGGACGAGTTTCGCGTTTTTTGCGAGGAGCCGCCCTCCCCACTCGAAGGGCGCCTATTTAAGGTGTCGCCTGGCCGCATCTGGCATCACTCGATCACCAACCATGCTCCGCTTCAGCCTAGTGTTGCTTTTGGCGTTGGCCACCTGCGTTTTGTCCGGCAGGATTGTCCGGGACGCCATGCCTGAGGCCGAAGCCGCCGCTGAGGCCAAAGCCGCCCCCGACGCTTCCCCCCAGTCCACAGAAAAACCAGCCCCTGAGAAGAAGGACGCCAAGCAGCCGGCGGCGCAGTACACCAGCAAATTCGACAACATCAACGTGGACCAAATTTTGAAGAGCGAGAGGCTGCTCAACAACTACCACAAGTGCCTGCTGGACCGCGGACCATGCACCCCTGACGCTGCCGAGCTCAAGAGTAAGATTACAAATTATTACCAAAACTATGGAGGAATAAAATAATTAATTAACTTTTTATCTAAAGCAATTTGAAGTAGAAAATGGCCTGGATCTTGTTAACTTAAATTATTATTATTATTTTTTTTAACTTATGAAAATTCTTCTTTTGACATAATTTGGCGTTTCATAATAGAAATTTATTAAACACAAAATGTGTACAACATTTTAACATGCGATTAATAATTTATAATTCATCCTTGCAGCTTCGGACAGGCTTATTGGCATTTCAAGTTTTAATTTGTGTGTATTTCCTGAATTAAACAATTATTGAAAATCAGGTCAAATCTAACTACTAATGTTTTGTTTTTAAATTTAAGTATATTTAACGTAAGCAGAACAACGATATGTTTATCACAGCTTCCCCTTAAGCTTCCTTCATTAATTATTTCTCAATGGAAACTCGTTTGACTTGCTTAAAGTTGAAAGTGAGAGTGTTTCTCTCTGCTTGTTACTAAGCTGCATTACTGCTTTAATTGCTATAGTCAATGTTCTTTTAAGCTGCGAAAACTGAGATTATTCAGAACTAAAGTTTCACGACAACTTTGAAAAATCCACTCTTAATTATATCCTGATGCGGAAACATTCAAATAATGTTTTCAATTTTCTTTCTTTGCAATTATTGAAAACTATTTAACCTAAATATGACTTTGGAATAAAAATCCTTAGATTTTCTTCAAGAATATTTTATATTTAATGCAAAGATAAAACAGAATGAGAAGTTTCCAGGCTCTTTAATAAAATATTTCTACTGAAACAATAAGATTTGCGAAAATAAAGCCAAGGCCGTAAAATTCTAAAGAATGACACGCTGCACGCAACAGACGTCAGCTTCCGCCAATGACAAATTAATGTCCTTTATTTCTCACGGAATGTTGCAATGAGCACCGAAATTTAATTTGCGGCAATTTGTAGGACTGCTTCCTGACGCCCTGGAGACAGGGTGTACCAAGTGCACCGAGAAGCAGAGAACGGGATCGGAAAAGGTCATCACTTACATCATCAAGAACAAGCCGGAGCAGTGGGAAGAGCTGCTGGACAAATTCGACAAAGAGAGGAAGTTCAGGGAGCGATACCAGAAGCTGGCCGAGGAAAAGGGATTCAAGGTGTAAAAATGAATGGTGAGGTTTTTGCCTCTGCTTGGAAACTGTACGATAGAAATTCTGAAAGCACCCACCATTTTTTTAAAAGTTTGTCTCTCTAACTAACATGAAGTGAAATACTGTACATGTTCCTAAAACGCATTTGCACTTATTTTGAGTCTCAGCACGGCAGATTTTTATGTAAAATTTTAATTTCTTCAACAAGCTGTACTTAATTAATTGTAAAATATAAACTAAAAAAAGAATCAAAATGCTTAATTGTATAATTAATTGTGTGCTTTTTATTTACGTGCCTAGTCGAAGTTTGTGTAAAAATGTAGAACTCAAATTCACTCCCTTTTCGGCCAAAGAAAATTGAAGTCATTTGAAACTGCGATAATGGAATTACACTTGTTGATAAATTAACCGGTCTGATGCACTCTCTCGCACACACAATACGTGGCCACGCATATATCAACTGTTCGTCATCGCGCGTTATAAAATCGTCCGTCGTTTCGCACTTTCTCTCCCGTGTACAACCACTGTGATGTAAACTCGAATTTAAAGCAAGGAAAGGATAGAATAAATGCATTTTGTGCACAACCTTTTTTGTATTTTCCAGAACACACCTTTGTCCACTTTTATTAGTATCATTCATTATTTTCTTGGTCAATGCGTTGCACGTGCAATCTTCAATTAAACATAAAAATATCTTGGAGAAAAAGACATTATTTTTCCAAAAAAATTAAATAAATAAAAAACAATAATGAAAGTTTCTTATGAAGTTGTAAAGCAGTAAGAATCAATAAATTGTCCAAAAATTAGGTCCAAAAATAAAATAAAATTTGGAAGAATTTCAAATAATATATTTGTTGAGATTTTTTTACTAGTTCAAAAATTAAATAATTTAGGAAAAATTGATAATTTACTCAATCCATTAACCAAACATAAAAAAATCCATCATAAATGTAATTAAAATAACTAATTGTAGCAAAATTGTGTCTGACATTTTTAACCCACTTAGTCTGGGTCAATCCTCGTCCATTTTTGTTTATGAAGACATTAAGAAACTAAATTAGGTCCAGCTCGCAGCCGTCCCTGTCTGCCAGCGAAATTAAAAGCGACATAATTATTATTATTCAGGTGGTCTTTCTTTCTGCATCCATTGCCTCACGCCGGTTGATCACGCAGGCCGCTACTGCGATCCAGTTTTTGCATACTAATCGGCCTTGCTGCAGAAAATCAATTTTAAATAATGAGATTTGAGTGGCGCAACCGCAATGGAAAATTTTCCTCCTAAAAAAAACAACCCTAAAATTGTAAAAAATTATTTCCAAATTTCATCCAAGCCGCAGAATTTTTTTACCAATTGTTTTATTGCGCCAAATTATATAGCTCTATTTTGCTTTTATTCGATTGGGGTTTTTATATTCATTTGCTCATTACCAGGTAAACCGACTGGGTTGCCTTGAAATTTTGCGTCGGTCAGCAGAGGAAGTGGAGTTCATAAATAATTGCTAATTGGATGCTTTTTTTAATTCTCAGAATCGTTTGCAACTCCCCTTCCTCCGAGCTTTTTACAGAATTATAAATAAATATGCCGTCCGCCGATAGCAATCACCTGCTTTTTGCATTTTAATGAACCTTCTTCAGATCGCTCACCGGTCGATCTAAATATAGGCCAGCCAAGGCCAAAAAGTACTCGAACTACTTTGAACTTTGCAAATGAACTCCTAACATGTGTGCGACTTTTAATTCAAAGCAATCAATTGCACCGATTAGCGAATGAAATGGACGTCGACACTCGAGGTTGATTCTGTTTATGGCAAAAAAGGAAAAAGGAAGGAAGGAAGACATCAGAGGCTGAAAGAGAATAAATTAAAATTTATGAATGCAGGTAATTATAAAAGAGAGCTCAAGGCTCTGGATAAATTCAAAGAGGTGCATATAATTGTATGCGTGTACTTTCTAGAAAGAGACTTATTAAGAGCTTCTTAATTTTGCAGCGGATTTTAATTGTTTTCACACAGCCTCATAAAAATTTGATTCGGCTGAAGGTTTGCGTTTCTTAAAAAAATAAAAAATTCAAGGCAGTTGCATCAAGAGTATAAAAAACGCTCATATATAAAGTTCATTATTATTGAAAACATACATCATTACCAATACTGTGATCTGTAGATAAAGTTAATTAAATTAATTCGAAAGGAAAAAATTCATAAGTCATCGAAGAAAAAGATATACATTCAAATAGATTGAAGTTTCTATACAGGTTCTTGAAGTTGTTGTTGGGGAACCTTTTGGCACTCAAGGTGGTCATTTTTGTTTAAAATAAATCCGGCTTCCTCGGTGGAGATGAGCAACTTTATTGTTTCTGTACCATGCAGAAACAATAAAGTTGCTCATCTCCACGGAGGAATCCGTATTTTATTTCAACAAATAGATTGAATTAGAAAAAAATAGAAGATATATTATGAGCAAGTGCAAAATTCAACGGTGCTGCAAGGTTAAGAATAAATTCAAAATCGAACAACTATACTTCTCATAGGGTGGTTACTTTTATTCTTATTTTTGAAGTGTATAATGATATTATTCGATGTTATGTAACAATTTTTATTAAAAAAAAAATATGTGTATTTTTAGATAAAAACAAAAATTACTTTGCACAGTACAATTTAAAAAATAAATTGCAAAACGGTTTTTAACCATTTACACCATAAAAAATTAAATTATTAAAATTAAATTTTGGATCTCACAACTATGACAAAAGAGAAATTTAATTTCATTTGTAATTAAACAATATACATTATGAGGTATTTGTATTTTTTGACTAGTGCGAAAAAAAATTGTTTAAAGGGTATAAAGAGTAATCAATAATAATTGCAAGAGTATTTTTCCACTCAATAAGGAGAAAAATCCCTGATTCTGATGGTAAATCCCCAGAAAACATGTTTAACTGGATGAAAGACGCGCAGCCATAATTAAACACTGGCAGCCGCCGGTCATGAAGTACCTTGGGCTTCAAATTCAATGAACTCGGGTCGACGACGTGTTTGAATGGCCACGAGGATTAATAGAGAAAACATATACACAGAGTTTAATCTGTTCTCCCACACGAAAGCAATCAAGGCTGACTTCATTAGCCGCACTAGACATCTCGATAATAACAAAGCGTGTCTCTTGTTTGCACCTCTGTGAACGTGGATTATTGTTTCACCCTGCGCTTTTCAACTAGAGCCTAGAACTGGTTTTACATACACATTTACTGACATCATTGGTTCACGGTTGAGGTCTCGCCAGTGCACATCGGACAATATATAAAGAACGCCGCTGCCCATGCATCGGTACTCACTCGTCTTCGGTCGCTTCCACAAAATGCATCTTCCCGCGTTCGCTCTGCTGCTGTTGGTGGCCGCGGCCGCCGCCGCGCCTCAGAAGGTGCCCGACAAATACACCAACAAGTTCGACACCGTCGACATCGACCAGATTTTGGCCAGCGAGCGACTTGTCGGAAACTACTTCAACTGTCTCATGGAAAGGGGACCTTGCACTGCCGAGGGAACCGAGCTTAGAAGTGAGTACATTTAAAAAAAAAGTAAATTTAAGCTCACTATAGTGATTTTAGTAGTTTTTAAATGTTTTTACTATAAAATACCTGCATGCAATACCATGCACAAAAATAATAATTTTAAATTAATAATATTGTTTACATTGTTTTTATAATAAATAACTACTTATTTTATTTTATTTTTTTTTTACAACTTAAATTTTTATTCTTAACAAAGAAGACTTATTTTTCATTTAAATCAATTATTAATTTTTTTTTAATTTCCAATATTAACAGATCCTATGATGTACATTATAATTAGTTCTTATAATTAAGAATACGTAAATCGGTACAGAATTTGTTTGTCGTCATATTTATAACATCTAGAAATTAAAATTAGAAATGATAAAAATCAAATATGTATCAATAATTTAAAAAAAGTGAAATAACAGTTGAAATCAATGATTGACTTCAGTCTTAATTTAATTGCATTGTATGTATTTGCTTTGAGTTTTCTCTAGAAACAGCAAAAAAATAATAAACATTTTTATTTTGTGATGCAAGTTTTAAATGTAATATAAAATATACTTTTTTTATTAGGTGTTTTGCCCGACGCCCTGGAGACCGGTTGTTCCAAATGCAACGAGAAACAAAAGAACGCCACTGAAAAGGTCCTGCGGCACCTGAGCAAGAACAAGCCCAACCTGTGGACTGAACTGACCGCCAAGTACGACCCCGAGGGCAAGTACCGCTCCAAGTACGAGTCTGAGGCTTCCTCCCACGGAGTCAAGGTGTAGAGGAGACCCTGCCACACATGACTGATTCCTCTCACAACGAAGAAGACTGCATTTGCAAATATTTATTATTAAATTAGACCATGATATTAATATTTGGAGTTTTCTGTTCCAAATCAAAATTGACGAACATTACAATAATGTAAAAAAAAATAATAAAACCTGCCTATAACAAACATCGATGAAAAATGAAAAAAAAAAGTGAAAGATTTTATTGCAAATTTTAAACACCCAAAATTGAACGCAAAGCATATTATAGAAAGGTCAAATACTTATAGCAAGATTCCAACAAGCCTACTTGATCGCTTACGCCCCTAATAATTAAGTTCTCATTATTTTATTTTTTTGTACATTTTTTAACACAATGGCACACCAAAGAAATAATAATTTATTAAATTTAGGTTATTTCATTTCTTATGAAAGAAAAAATAAATTTTCTTGATCTGGCTCTTTAAAAGTATGGTGGGCACTATTTTTGTTCACCCAGTTTTATGTTTTTGCACTCCCTGAACACGTCGAAGGCAGTTTAAATTTGGATATATGTACTGCAAAATATTTAAATTTTTTCTTCGAGGGTAATTTTTTAGAAAAATATTTTTGATCTGGCATTTTAAACCAGTGTGGTGTCATGAATCTCATTTTTTGAATTGTCATATGACTGCTATTTTATATTTTTTAACAGTCGTCGTGTCTTGTTGAAACCATGGAAAACACTAGACACCATTTATTTACACGTTTGTTCGGCATATCACGGGAAAAAAAGGAATATTTTAGAAATCATGAAGGAAAACTAAATTATCTGGTTTGCTTTAAGCTCATAATAATATACTAGAGTGTCCAACGGGAACGAATTATGCAGGTACTGCGGGATCCCTTTCCCGCAACTTCTTTTTCTTTCCCGCCCGTTCCCTGCTCATTGATTGGGAATATTTTCCCGCGGTAGTACCGTTCCTGAGGTTAGATTCCCGTACCGCTCATAATATATTTTTTTTTAATACACATGTCTGTTAAAACGTTTCTAAGGGCGATTGAGGGAAGGGGGGGTCAAAGTGCATTAAAATAAATGTAACGCCCAGGTGAAAATCAGTAGAACCATTTTTTGGTATTACTATTTTTCATATGACCCAATATACCGTGAAAGGTTTGCGCGTACTTTTTTTTCTTTCAAAGTTTGATTTCATTTGGCATCGCCGAATCTAGAAAAAAAGTATGGCAATAATCTTATCAGTTGCTTTTCTGCATTAATTTTCTCAACGTATGGGATTATTTTTGAAAAAGTTTCTGTAAAACTCTTGAAAAAATCCTTGATATAATTTTCATGTATTTATTATTTCATAATTTAAGAATATTCCTGGACCAATATACAATTAATTTATAATTCAAAAGCACTTATTGTCAAAGTTAGCTTGTTACAAATCAATGGGGTCTTGATATTGAGAAATATCCGAAACAGAAGCGCACGCATTATGGCTCAATAAGTACCGCTTTTGATTGGCTGTTGGTTTTCCGTGGCGCAAATTTTAAATTTTCACCAGCGTGTGAAAGTGGCACGATCAAATAAAATTAACAAAAAAGCATTAATTTGTATGAATAATAGCAAAAATCATATACCTGGGACCAGATTATGAGTGCGGCGCCTTTTCCGAGTGGTCGGCTGAACGAGAAAATTCCCCATTTGCCTCAATTCGTTGAGATACGGTAGCGATTCATGAAAATTTTCGCCTTTCTCGCCATATTCTTTCTTCCAAGGACTTGTTGGGCACAAGGGCAGCGGCGAGTGATAAGAGAAAGAGAGAGTGTTGGCGGGAGCGCATTCCAATGCTGCTGCATTGTGCAGGTAGCGCTCCCTCCCAACCCTCCCTCATTTCCTTTTCTCTCGCCGGCTGCCCATGCACCGGCGGCTCTGGAAACTTCCTCGCTGGAGGAAAAATGGCGAATCGGGCAAAAATATCAGCAATCAACCCGTATCTCACCGAATTAAGGCGAATAATGGATTTTCTCGCCGCGCCGACCACTCGGAAGTGTCACTGCACTCATCGACTCGCCTCAGGTAGGTGAATTTTTCCGTTATAATTTGCTATTCTTTAAAGAAATTGCCTCTAAAATTATGTCTCTCGTTTGTCGTAAAATAAATTGCCACTCCTCTTCCGGTACTAGAAGCGGACGCATCTGACCACTATTCGGATCGAGACCCCATTGTTACAAATAAAAAAAGTAGCATTCGTCAAAGTTGTTGATAAAAATAATAATTTACAAAGGCTGCTGGTTTTTCCTCGTTTCGCGATATACCCCTGTCTGCGCAAGTTTCCGCAATTATAAAAAGCGAGCCGACGCGCCGCATTTGTATTTCAGCTCTTCACATCGAAAGGAATAATGAGAAACATGCTGACGCCGTACGTGTGGCACTTTTTGGGCAGTGTCCTTTGCATTATCATTATTATACAACAGTGGACGATTCAGATGGCGATCCAAGGTGAAATCATCTCATCAATATGAAAATTTTCAATATTATTTAGAATGATAGAGCTAATTTTCCCCCATTTTTTTTTTCATATTATATTCAAGTTTACAATTAAAGTAACAAAAACAGTAATTAAAAATAACTTGTTTGGTGAATAAATTTTGTGATTCTTACAGGTTAATTTTAAATATACTCTGAGAAGGGTTTTGAGTAAGATTTAATACGCCAAATTAAATTTAAATTCCAGAATTTCGAACAGGGGCTCAAGTAGTACCTCAAGTGGCACCTAAAGTGGTACCTCCAGTGGCAGTGGCACCTCCACTAATACCACCGATGGTAACCAAAGTGGTCACTGCAGTACCAATTACAAATCCTCCTGCTGCGACAACTGAAGCCACGTTCGACGCGCTTCCCGAGTTTGACGAGAGATTGTTGAGCCACGTGAAAAGCATTTTGGTCAAACCGAACAATCGAAGCGTCCCCTACGCTCTGCAAAACCCAAACGCCGCCGACTATTCTCAGGAATACACCGGCACTTATATTCTCTCCCTGTTGAAAAACAAAGTATATTTTATGCAAATTATGTACTTTCAGAATTCAGATATATCACAGTTATCTCCAACTCTTTTTTTTTTTTTTTTTTTTTTTTTTTTTTTTTTTCAAAACCTGACCATATTTAAATTTTGGCAGACGAACGGCTTCTTCTTTGAATGCGGTGCGTTTGACGGCGAGACCTTTTCCAACAGCCTGGCGCTGGAAAAGTATTTCAACTGGACAGGTTTGCTGGTCGAAGGATCGCCAAAAAACGTTAAGGTCTTGCTGACCAAGAAAAGACGGTCGTGGATTTCACCGACTTGTCTCAGCACGACCAGAAAATCCATGAAAGTATATTTTATTCATTCTTTTCGTGTTGGATGCTAAATTCTGACTTATAAAAAGGTCACGTTCCTGGACAGCACCAACACTGGGAAAATCCTCGGAGGAGCGAATCATAGCGTGGCAAAGCCCCCGAAATACGGCTCCGTGGTCCAATCTTTTTGCGTTCCCTTCAATACGTTGATGAAAGTTCTGGACATTAAGCACATCGATTACCTCACTCTGGACGTTGAAGGCCCGGAATATGAAATTCTCCAGACGATTGACTTCAAAAGTGTGACGATCGACGTAAGAAATGCTTTTGTGAATATATTTATTTTTCAGATTTTGAATTTTGAAAAAATGGTTGAATTTTAACAAAATTTTTAAATTATTTTTAATAATACATATATGATTTAGAAATTTTCAAAGTTTTTTCTATTAAAGATTGATGAACATGTATTTAATTCACTAGCAGTACATTTTTCGACCAGATTTACAAAGCTTTTAATTTTTTTTTCACTTATTTAATACAAATTAATTGGGGATTTTTTTGAATCTGCACATAACATAATTACTAAGATTTTAACTATTATTATCTAAATTATGTAAATTTATCAGGTGATGGCTGTGGAGTTTTATTATCGTCCGCCTGAAATCTACCAGGAAATTCTCAAAATTATGACTGGAAATGGATTCGTCATGGTAAAAAAAACGAGATTCGATTCAATCTTTGTGCACAGCAGAATTTACCAACCCTCGATGGCTGCAACAACAAAAAAGACTTTGTGAAAAAGTCAATTTCTATTCTTTATTTGATTGATGCTCCGAAATCAAGTTTGTGAGAATGGGCCAATTTTGTTTGATCAATTTTTATTATTGAAGAGAATGAAAAGCTTTTTTTGTGTGTGGGAATGCTTGAGATTTTCAAACAACCATTCTTACACATTTAAAACTAATTTTTAATCTATGATTATTCATTTGCGTCTTTTAGTAAACGTTTTAGTTCGATATTCACAGAAAATATAAACTTTTTTTTGAGAAAATGAAAATGGAACAATGAAACGGGGTATTTTTTATTCTTCCCTCTACCCAATACTGCGACATAAATCTCTTTTTTTTGTCAATTGTTCAAAATAATCTTCTGATTGTGAGTTGTGCCAAATTTGTAAAGAAATCAAAAATTTAATGATGTATCTATCCTATTTTTGAGATTTTATTGTGTATTTTCATAATAATCACGCCATGAAAAACCAATATTACAATCTAAAATCTTAAAAAATGGATTAAACAAAAAGCTGCTAATAATATCCTTCTACAACTTAAAAAATGTGTTCCGTCATCAAGAAATTTTATCATCTAAACAATTTTTTTACTTATCATTAAATTTATTTTAAATTATAAATGAATTTTTGTGTAAAGAGAATAATTGTGGACCTGGCAACAAACCCACATTAAGAGAAGAGTATGAGAAAATAATTACAATCTGGTAAGCACCAGGTTAATGGAAAATTTTGGATTTTGTCTCATATACTAAGGTCAAATAAAATTTTTTTTTTTGAAAATTGTATGTTGTACTCATAATTGCAACCAAAATGACTTTTTTAAATTTGGCGTTTCGGAATTGCGAGCAAGGCCAATGAGGAACCCAATTATGTGTCTGATTGTCCAAGCTTGATTGTGAACCTGCAACGATAACAACTTAATTTTTCGCCAGACGACAGACATGGATCTATTTTTATTCATATGCGACTTTTGAAACAATAAAAATAAACCATCAGTTGAATTTTTCATGTTATGGACCGCGGTTTCCCCCCCCCCCCCCCTTTGTAGCTTACATACTTTTAAAAGTTGACAAAAAAGCTTAATTAAAGAAGTGTGGAAGAGACGCTGAGTGGTTTATTTTTATTAATGTTTTTTCCAGCCACTTTCTAAAAAAAAAAAATGATCTATTTTGAACCTCATAATTTTTCATAATGCAATTAAAAGAATCCGCGCGCATTATTCATATTATTCACAGAACGTTTAATGGAACGCAACTTCCAGTTAAATAACGAACGCAGTCTTTTTTTTTAGAACGTATACTATCTCAAAAGTTCCAGTAAAAATTAATAATTATCAATTAAAATTATTACCTTTTTTATTGGCGGAGCTCTTCAATTTTTTTGTGGAATAAAAAATAGTTGTATTAATTTGACCTTGTTCAATCTACAGAATTACTGGTTGATTAATTATAGTATAGACCCCCCAAATAAATGAACAATGAAATCATGAATTACCTAATATATGATTGAATTGTAAAAAAGTAAGCAAGAGAGCTTCCGGGAATTGTTTGTTATAAAATAATCATAAGACGCAAAAAAAAACGAGACAACATATCTCAAGATGAGTGGCTGGCAAATCACGGGTTTTTGCCCATCTTAAATGAAAAACAACAAATAAAAAAAAAGACTCAACGACGCATCTTTGCGCGCACACCTGCATGAATATTGCATGGTGAGGTCGGCCAATTTGAGGTGGCCTCGGCGTTAATTGGTGAACCAGCCAAGCGTATGAAGGCACCTGTGAGAATTTTCGCCCGACACTTGGACTAGCACCGGGATGCGTCTTTACATCGGAGCTTGCCGCCATGGCACTAAGACCTTTGGGCTTCATCCTCGCGGCGATCGCCGCTCTCCAACAGGTAACCCCCAATTTACACCCCTTCTACAATATCAACCCTTTCGCCGGCTGCTTTAATTAATTTCAAACTCCTTTTATCTAACTTGTTTGAAAAAAAAAATATTTAAATATAATTAAAATATAATTTTTTCAATTTATCGCCCATATGGTATATTTCAATCAGGTAAACTAAATAAATTTCATCCTTACTGAAACAAAATATTTTTTTGAAAATCAGCAAGTTATTATTATTATTATTTTTTGTCTAAACACACTTTCAGACCTTGACATTTGTCAGAAGCCAGATGCGTAACTAGTTAGTAAATAATTACCAGGAAAACCCTCCATTTATTTTTTTCCTTAATTCATGAAAAAAGGTTTCCTGGAAAAATTTGGGGGCGATTTAAAATATGACTCATAATTATGTTTGAACAAGTGGAAATATTTTTTTAATTGAGTTTATTGAAAGGTTCTCTGTTTAAATTAAAAGCAATTAAACGTTACGAAATTTGTGTTTGGTCAATCGCGAATTTTTTGTATCACTTCTCTGGTTGGTTAATTGTTCTCATTTGCATAACGACTTAATTAGTGAGTCATAAAACTAAATCATTTGATCTAAACTTCAGGGAAAAAGCGATCAGCGATAATATAATATGAAAAGACCGCGTGCTTATTGCAAATCCCAGTCTGCAGTACTTTTCCTCGGTTCAATAAATTCAAAAGACTATTCATTCAAGGTCGTAGAGCGTCTGGGTCGTCAAACGAACTGGTTTTCGCAAACTAACCTGGTCATTTCGTTGCACACGTGTGACATTTAAAGATTTAAATGGACACACTCGACTGGACACGTAGTCTGGTTGTAACGCTCATCTCGTGACCAGTACAAGATTTTATTGTTGTTCTTATTCTCAGGGTTTCTGCGAAATCAACACAAATTGGCAAAGTGCCCTTATCTTTTTCCGCTCTTTTCCTCAACAAAATGAGGAAAGCCGGTTTTATCAACAATTTATTAGGTTGTTTAGATATAATTTATTACAGAAATATTTAACAGAGGAATAAATTAGAATAAGAGAAAAGAAATTCGAAAAAAAACCCAGAATAAATCATTTATGAAAAATAAACACTTTTTTAGTGAAGTTTTTAGAAGAAAAATTTAATAACTGTGATGCTATATAACCCACTGAAAAAGTGAAAATGATGTTGAGGATTGTGTTTTTACTGACTTGGCGACTGAACAATTATCTTTCTTTAGACAAGGAATAAAATGATTAAATAAAAACATATAAAACCCTCAAAAATCTTCTTTTGTGGCTGTTTCACTTCTTGAATCTTCATTCTAGCTATAATATTTAAACTCTGTTCCTGCTCTGTACATACATATATGTGCGTATCTGATCGTTTATAATTTTAATTCAGGTTCAGGTTCAGCAGTAAAACTTATTGTCAGACCGACATACCTGAAAGTTAAATACATCAAGAGCATTTAGATTAAGAGTGCGCGCGGCCCAATATTGTTCAATAACGGTGGCTATGATCTTAAATAAAAAAATTAACTTAGATTTTATGTTAAATGCTTAAAATTTAAATCAGGTGTAAAAATTCTAATATGTATTTATTTAATTAATAATAATTTTTTTTTACTTATAAAACTTGAAATTTATTTATGATTTTTATAAACACTATTTTTCTTATTAAAATTTATTTACAAATTAACAACTTTTATTTTCTGATATCATGTTGCAATATTTTATAATGAAAAAGTAAAAAAAAAAAAAAAAATTATTACAATATGTTATTTATAATTTATATAGATCGCATAATAATGGAATAAGTAAAATTTGAAAATTATTTTTCCATATTGATCCTTTAAATTTACAAGTAGTAGCTAAATCCTTGTATACAGAAAATAAATCAATATAAAATCTCGTTAGAATTAGTTAAAATGTTTCCCAAATTTGTTATAAACTCCAAAACGGTAATAATTAAAAATTGTAATAAATTTTATATTAACAATTGATTAATGGTAAAATTTGTTTTTTGTGTGTCCCCAGTTAATTTTTATTGAATGCTGCGCCCGGACGAATTTGGACAGGACGACGAGGGTGATCAAAACGACCACGCCGCGAGTCCTGACGAGCTTCAAATTCGGCGACGCTCTGTTCCTCCGACTCGAGGCGTTGACAACCACAACCACGACCACGGAGGCGCCAATGAAGAAAACCACGGACAGCAGTTCGATGTACACCAACAGGTACGACCACGTGGCCATCGAGAATGTGCTCAGCAGTCCAAGGCTGATGAAGAACTTCCACTGGTGCATCATGGGTCGCGGGCCGTGCACCAGCGAAGGCGCCGAACTCAAAAGTAAGAAAGTAACTGCGGTTGAAATTTTGTAAATTGACTGGAAAAACACATTCAGTCCTTGCACTTTTGCTAATCTTAACCTAAAATTGTGAAAGAGAGATATTAATGCTTGCAAAAGTTGAAGCCAAGATTTTCAATTCAGCGCGCCAGACAAGGTCGAGATGATGAACTTTTCTCAATCATTACATATTTCGCGCCAGTGCGCTTTAACAAGAGAAAAAAATAATCAAGGGACTGGTGGTGCTTTTAAAATTAAGGATTAATTTTTATTCCCACGCAAAATTCTGCTAGGGTCATTGGTGACGAATTAAAGGAGCCAGACTGGTGTTTACGGCAAAGAGTTTTCAATGGAAAACAAACACTTAACGCGCGTATTTATTGCAACTTGCTAATTGTGTGCGCCAAAGTGGCGTAACAAAATAAATGTATTATGCACACAAGGCGCAGAAACAAATGCGTTCAGTCAAGGGAGCTTCATACATAATTATGCGTTTTCTCAGTAGGCCACTCTCAAGGATTTGAAATAAATTATCTTAATGCGAGCCCATTAAACACATTTGTCTGGGATTCATTCTCACTTGTTTATGAGCGATTAGATCTCATGTCTTTATAAAGATAATTTAAAGGTTCTCGCGTTATATGATAAACAAAAGTTAGGAAATATTTTTTTAAGATCGTTTTAAATTATTTTTTGCAGAAATTATACCAGAGGCTCTGAAATCCGACTGCTCTCGCTGCACAGAGAGGCAGAAGGTCCAGGCTGGAAAAGTTCTCCTCTACCTTCTACAGCACAGACCTGAATGGTGGAAAGAGCTTGTGGAAAAATACGACCCTGATGGAAGACTCAGGAAGAAATACGAATATGAATTAGACGAGTAATTTTTTTGTGATAGACCGAAGTGATTCCGAGATGTTAAAATTTCGTGAAGGCCAGTGATATTTTTTTGTGAGCGTCTTTTTTTATAAACAGTTTAAATAAAAGCATTCTGCACTTGAAACGCACAAAAATTAAGCAAATTTTTTAAATAACGATTCATTATAAAAATTTCAATTATGAGTTTTGTTTATTGTTTGAATGTTGCTTGTAAAAATACATTTGGCTGATAAATTAAGAAATTCATAGTTTATTCGATTATGTAATTTGGATGGACAACCAAAAGAGGATCGTTGGCAGGATGTGCCTTGTCTCCCATTTCTCCTGGTGTCAAAGGAATAAGAATTTGATCCTGAGCAAAATCAATAATTAAAATTTTTAAATGAATTATCAATAAATCTTACGTGATAAGTGAGGCGGTCTACAACTTTTTCCACGGTGAATTTCTTATTCAAAAGGTCCTCCTCGTCTTCAATCTCATCTGCAATTCGATCTAGGTACCAGTTGATAACATCACTCCTCTTCAGACCTTCCGTGGCCTCTTCTATAATAAAATTATTTTAGACTTTGGTTTCAATGATTCTTTGAAAAATATTACCATCAGCTTTGGTCTCCTCATCTCTCATGTAGACGACAATCATGTTGGAAATTTTCTTATACTCGTCGTAAGTCATTGTGTGTTTCTGCTTGGGCGCAGCAGGGGCCGGCGCTGCTTCCTCTGATTCTTGAGGAGTGTCCGCAGCAGGTTGATCGACTTCCATTTCCTCTTCTTCCTCGTCAAAATTGACGTCTGGCTGCTCTACTCGAATGATGCTCTTGTTCATCAGACGGAACGATTCGGTCACATGCCGAGGCAAAATCTAATCAAGAAACATAATTAAATTTAACACCATTATAAAAAGTGACTTTGAACTCACTGTTTCTGTGCACTCCATCTTTGCCTGCGCCTCGGACAGACGAATCATGCTCTCCAGCTGTCGGACGGTAATTCTGTACATGGACTTTGCAGCATTCGGACCTTCTCTCTGCCTCAGCTGGGTGTAGTGCTTGACAAGCAGCTCTCCAGCCTCGGGAGTCAGGACGGGTTTGAACTGCTTGCCGAACATGATGTACTTGAGTACGTCGGCCTGCGTGTAAGCAGTTTCGTAGGCTTTGTCCAGATGACGGTGCAAATCCATAATTTTCCTCGCAATGGCATAATCCGTCACCTAAATTTATAAAGAAATTCAGTAACTAATCAAAGTAAATAAATTTGTTATACAAACCTCACTCATTTCATCAACAATGATGAAGAACAAGTCAAATCGAGACATGATAGGGGCGGTCATCATGATGTTCTGCTGCAGGGGCTTGGACCGGTCATATCTGCCTCCGACCGGATTCGCAGCTGCCAAGATTGATGTTCTGGCATTCAGAGTTGCCCTAACACCAGCCTATAAAAATTTACTTAATAATTTTAAAACGGATCAAAGATTTAATATGATTTATTGGAAAAATTAACTGAAATATTAAACTCTCAACGCATAACGATGTCACTTTTTAATTTGTTATTATAAAAAAAATTATGAAATTTATATTTTCACCATTGTTTACCTTTGCGATAGAAATGGTTTGCTGTTCCATGGCTTCGTGAATAGCAACCTGGTCTTTCAGATCCATTTTGTCAAACTCGTCAATGCAGCAGATACCATTGTCCGCCAACATCAGGGCACCGGCTTCGATAACAAAGTCAAAAGATTCCTCGTCCTTGACCACAGCTGCTGTCAAACCAGCAGCGCTGGAGCCCTTGCCGGATGTGTAAATTGCACGGGGAGTAAAATCCGAAACCTAGAGAATGCAATTATTATTTTCAGTATAGTTGATTTTGTATTAAGAATAAAATTACTTGTTTCAAGAGCTGAGATTTGGCAGTACTAGGATCACCAACAATGCAAATATTGATGTCTCCACGCAAATTTGTTCCTTCATGGGTGTGCTTCGGGACGCCTCCAAAAAGCATCAAAAGTACTCCTGTAAAATATTGTTTAGATTAAGGGGATTGATGAATAATTAATAATACCTTTCTTGACTTCATCATTTCCGTGGATGGACGGGAAAAGGCTGTTGATCAGATTCTGATACAAATTCTTGTCTCGACTCATCTCAAAGATTTTATTCCAATCAGCATCAGTCATCGACTTCTTCATCAATTCAGGAGTAATTTCGTTCAGCTGCATTTCAGTTCCTCCAAACTATTAACAAAAATAATAATATGTACGAATCTTTAAAATAAGTTAATAATTCTGACCAGAGGTTTTGTCTGCTCAACACTGCAGGCCAGGAAGCACATTTTGTAGTTGAGTTCTCGCACACCCAGAGACTTGAGGCCTTTGATTCCAGCGTCGGCATCAGAGCCCTCCTTGTGACCCTTGGGAGGCTCTGCTCTGATTCCTGGCAGGGCCATGGCACCAACATCAGGAACCACAATCAAGCTGCCGGTGAAGTCAACTCGGTCACCTGGCTGCACCGTTTCAACAGTCTCTGCTCGGAGGACAACATCGATACTGTAAAATTATTTTTAATTTGCAAAAATTATTAAATAGATCTTAGAAACAAACCTTCTGGGGATGCAACCACGGGGAAGTTCCGCCTGAATTTCCTGAATTCGGACCTTTTGGAAGTCGACAAACTTGGACTTTTCGATTTCCAGCAAAAATTTGCGCCTATTGTTGCATACGGGGTTTCTGCAGATGGTCGGGATTGTGTACTAAAGTGTTGAATAGAAATTATCATTATCATTTTTTGATTGAATGTAAATTTAAATTTACTTTAAACTGCTGCTCCACATTTTTAATGACTGTCTGGCACTCCATGCACACAAAAGTTCCGAGGACAAGCTCAGGGTGGATGGGGTGGGTGCGCACAACCTGTCCGGTGAGCTTCAGGAGGGAGCCAATTTTGGCGGTGGACAATTCGCGGAGCTTGAAGCGGGTGGTGACGCCGACGAAGGAGACATACAACTCTTTGGCCGACGTGTCCACTTCTGCGTGGTCCTGCGCGAAATGCGTCACGGCGAGACAAAGGTAAGGGTACACCCGGTAGTACTCCTCGGAGATGGTGGTGGCCAGGGTCTGGTTGAACGCGTCCACGTCCTCGAAGTTGACCTCCAGGGTCGACTTCTCCATGTTCTTGAGCTCCTTGGCTGGCTCGAGGTACTTAAGAACACCATCTTCTTTAAACCTGAAGCGAATATAAAATATTTAAGAAATCTGAGAAAACAGAAAGCATGAAAATATTAAAAAAAAAATGTATAATAACAATAAATGAATAAATTAAAATAAAAACAAATATCATTTTTTGTATACATATAAACATTGAAAAAATGTAAGGAGAATGTAGAATTTGACGAGATTTCGGTTAAAAACTGGACGAATTATGTATGTATTAACTTTTAAAGGGCAGTTTAAAGGCTCAATTTCTTACTCTTTCAAAAAGTCCTGGAACAGCTCCTGAACCCTCGACCCGACGGTGTCCTTGACCCTCAAGGGTCCTGCTTGGATTTCAGCAACATCCATCGCAGGCAAATGACTTGGCAAATGACTTCAACGGGCCGAAAAGTAAAAAACAAGGTCCGTAAAATTGTTTTAATATTGTTAACAGCCTGTTGCGGTGAATCTGGCGGGAAAAGCGGCGCGGCGAGGAGGAGTTTAAAAAGTTGCCAAATCTCGCCAGCCCAGTAGAGAAAAGTGATCTGGCAACGGTGCTTTTGTTGATGTAAATAGTCGCTCCAAGTTTGGAAAAATGACGAGAAAGCAGATTTGCTGGAATTCTTTTGAATTATATTATCGTGTCTGTTGAATTTGTTCTCAATTTATACCGATGTGACCATTCGCGAATTTAACGATGACCTCTCCTGTTACTCTTTCCACGAGTGTCAACTCTGAAAAACTCATTTCTGACATAAAAGGTGCGATCTTTTTTAAGAACTTTTTATGAACAGGACTTTCTCCAGCATCGATCAACAAATTATGAAATTATCCTATATGGGATTAAAAAACAAAATGAGACAACTATTTAATTTAAAATAAATTAATTTTAAAAATTTTGCAGAATACATCGAAGACTTGGTGTCTGAATTTTCAAATTCTGCAATTCCTATCGACGATGACAGCCAAATTTGTCAAAGACTTTGTGTGAAACTCGAGCAATTTCTACTTCTCGGATATATCGGTAATAATTTGATTGATATATTTTTAAATTGCTTTAATTTCATGATTGTTGTAGAAAAAATCAGCTTATTCGGGCGCAAGAAGTCTTCGTACTGGGATTTTTTCCGATCATCCCTCGTCTCTACCAAAGGCGGTGTTGATTCTGCGATTCGTTATGCCTCCTACAATCCAGAGGTTTGCACTAAATTAAATAAAATAAATTCTATAAAAATATTGTATTTAAAGGTGCGTACAAGTCTTGGTCGAGGTCGAGCCTTCCTCAGGTACTGCCTGGCTCATGGTTGTCTGGCCGACGCCATTCAGCAGAGCCTGATGACCCCAGAAATTCTTTCAACCTGGTATCAAGAGTCGGCTTCGATGAGAGATGAAAACTTGGCCCAAGAATTAGTTTCTGCCACTTATGCTTTGGCCGACGTCAGCTTCGACCTTGCCCCTGGAGGTCACGACTTGGACGCTGAGTGGCCATCGTTTAGGTGAGGAAAATCCCTTGAATTTTTTTCTACAAATTTATATGTTCAATATTTTACGGCAACGCTTGTGTTTCTCAAAGTGATTGAAGAGGTTTATAATTTGGCGCAATTTGCTTTCCCGGCGATTCATCTAAATTTGCAAAATGAGCTATGAAGTGGTTCTCATATCGACCTTGAGTCGTCGCTTTCAAGTTGGTTTCACAGCCGTGATCTCTCATCTTGAAAGCTTTTCCTTGGCACTGCTTGTTGCCAAGTGCCAAAAAATGCTCGCTATAGCCAATTCTAGAAGTAATTGATACTTCTAGATTTTCCTCGTTAAACAGCCTGAAATTTTTTGGGAACTATTAATAATCTATTTATATGAAACGCTTGAATTCATAATTGATTAAAAAACATCTCATTTGCTGCAATATAAAATTTTCTTGGTTGAAGAGCAGGAAATCGTGCAATTTTATTTAGCAACTTCTTTTTGAAATTTTCGTAAGTTAAATTAGAGGAAGGTTATTTTTTATATTTTTATTTATTTATTTTTTAAAATCAACACAAGAACCAATCTTATCAACCTGGGAGAAAATCTCGTTAAATATTAAATAAAAATGGCGTTTATAAAAGATAATTATTTAACTTTTTATATTCTTTAAAAAATGCCTGTATTATTTTCTAATTTGCTAATTGTAAGTTCCAGAAAAAGAAATAAAAATTTCATTAAAATTAAATATCAATTTAGAAAAAATAAATTAAAAATGCATCGCAATCAATTAATCAAGTAAAGATTTCCATAGTTTCATTTAAAAAAATTCTGCTATGCAAATTCGAGCGTCCCAAATCGTCGATTACTCATTGTCAAAGGCTGGCGTCAACTTTTGTCAACTCTTGAAATTGCACGTCAAGTCCTGAGCGTGGCCAATGACGTCACAACACCACTTTCCTATAACTAATTATTTCTCCGAACGAGAAGCTGAGACTCTGCGGCTCACCGGCGGCAGGACAATATATATAATCCAAAGGGCCTGGTTATTTTTAGGCCAGAGTAGAGGCGGTCGCGGTGGCGCGTCTCGTTGGGCAGCGGCCCCGAAATAGCGGCGGCCACTCGCGCGTCGCTCCACGGGGTTAGCCGCGGCCGAGGCGGCACCACAACTCTGGGCCAAGCTCCATCGGCCGCGAATGCGCCAGTCGCCGGGAAAACCCTTTCGCGTTTTGCAACAGCTCTGACCGCCGCGCCGCTGCTCTTTTCATACCAAAGTGAGTTTTCACAGAGGGAATCATTTTAATTCTGGCCCCGCGCGGCGCGAACTATTTATTTGTCCTGAGATTTGCGCGCTTGGCTCTTTTAGCCTCTTCCGAATTAAGTAATTCAAGCGACCCACTTCCTCCCCTTTTGTGTTTTCAAAGTCCTGCTTTGTCTTCGCCCCACTGATCCAATTTTGTTTAATCGCCTTTCTTTGAAATTTCTGTAATTTCAAGCAGACGAGTTTATTTACTGTGTTTTAAGATCTGGATTTATGTAAATATCAGATGAGTTGAGTCGTTTCGCGCGTGGAGTTTGTTAGGGTCGGTTAGGGTGACCGTTTCGGTCAACTGAAATAACAAGGTGACTAAACTGGCTGATTCAAGCACCGCCAAATAACCTGCGCCTGCGTTAATGAAACAAAAACTGCTTGATTTCACCACGTTTTGAAATTTAATTTCAAATTTTTAAATTTAAAACTAAAATAGACGTATTTTATTCATTTAATCGTGAATGTGGGATTTTCCTGATTGTAGAAAATTGTCAATCACTAAAAAACCGACGTTTCTGCCAGTTTCAATTTTCAATCTTGGTCTTCAACTCTACCTCATGATGAAGGAATCAGAAAATTATAAAAATCTACAAATTTCTCAGGAAGAAAAACTTGGGGGAAAAAAGAAGATATTTTAGAAATATTTTTGTAGCTTAGCCTAATGATTTTATCTTACATTCTATGAAACCTACCAAAAGAGTTAAAAATGTTATAATTTGGAGCAATTGCATTGATTAAAATAATTGATATTCATTGAATTTTTTATTCAAATTTTATTGATAATTCACATTAATATTTTTCTTGTTATTAAAATTTTATAAATTGTTTCATATCATAAAAAAGATGTATTAAGTATTGAGGAAATGAAAACGTACATTGCAAAACTCTAGGCCTTCCAAGGTATTTTTATTATGAAACTGTATGAAACCAAACAAGTGCAATTTTTAAATTGAGTAATTTTTTTAATAATTTTAAGACAATTACATCAAATTTTTTCCCCTTTTACTAAATTTCACTATAAGCACCTTGGAATTTTAATTAGTAGCAGTTTCCCTTCACAATTAATTAAAAACGTTTGTATTCCGCACAGCTAATTAAGTCTATTGTTGCTGCTAATTTAAAGATTTAAATGCTTTTTATTGTTGGTTTTCAACAATTTTAAACGTCTACTTAAAGTGACGGCTGAAGTCAATTAGCCGGTATGCGCTAATCTCGCGTGTGATTTGTGTCGCGGTTAATTACTCGAAAGGGTTAAAACGTGCGCGATGAATGTCCTTCAGCACCCGCCCTTGAGCGAATTGAAGATGGATTTGCGGTGTGTCCGCGAGTGGCACGCGATTTATTTATTTCGCGCAGATCTCGCGAGTCGCGTCTCCAAACGACGGAGCGATTTTTGGTCCAAATGCGTATCTTCTCTGCTTCCTGCGGCGAGTGCACAGCTGGGGTTTATTCCGAGAGAAAGAGATAGAGAGGCGATCACGAGGTCTTCGACCACGCAGTATTATTGCCCGGCAGTCTGCGTCGTCCTTATTTTCGAAAGAAACAAACGCGCAGAGATGAAGTGCAGACGAGAGATTTTCTTAATTTCAAACGAGTGATTAGCAATGTCTGCTCTCTTTTGTTTCGTCAGAAAAAGTCCTTTGAAGAAATGGGTGAATAAGCAGCTGCAATTTGACCTTGCGGATAAACTGCTTTGGATTTGTTAAAAGACTTGAGCAATTTAATAAAAATTTTACTGTAAAACTCTATTTTATATAAATTTTAATAATGTATGCAAGATGTTGTTTTCATATTGTATCTGAATGGAGAATAAATAAATTTTTGAAAAATTAAATAAATTTTTAAACGTAATAAGAGTTTGAGCAATTTAATAAAATATTAACTCTAAGGTCAATAAATTGTTTACCTTAATAAAAGTTAAGGCAATTTAACAAAGTTTTAATTGTAAAATTCGTTGAATTTTCAAACTTGTTAAAAGTTTGAGAAATTAAATAAAATTTTGGTTTGGTTCAATGAAAGTTTATTTAGCTTGAAAACTAATACAAATTGTTAAATTCAACGAATCGGTTAACTTATTTTTTTTTTAATTGCTTTAAATTCACTGTCTTATTAAAGTTAATAAAAAAAAATTATAATAATGCGCAAAAAAAAACTTTTAAAGATCTATATTTGATGTACATAAGCAATTCAGATACTTGACTTATACAAGAATTTCAATTGTAGTTAGTTTCCACCATTTTCGCAACGCTAATTTAGTGTTAGAGCAAAGCATACATCTAGGGCTTCAAATTTCCCCCCTTTCTTTATTTTTCATGCCAATAATATTTTTAATTTTTTATGAAACTGTTTCACTCCAGTTTTCTTCCCAATATGCGTTTATATATAATTAAGCACAAGCAAACAAACCAGAATCAATTATTTATAAAAGTGGCATTAAAATGTCTAATTATTTGTAACTTTAGTTGCAATTAATAACTCCGACTCTTAATTTTCGTTTCAGACGCAATTTTGGCTCTCCGTCGAGAAACCTGAGCTGGAAACCGCTGAGTCGGAGCACGAGTTCCGCCAGTTTGTACTCCAGCAGCTTTTCCCTCGTAAGTATTTATGAGGATTATAGTTTTATAAAAGTTGTTCCATTTCCCAACCTCGAATTAGTGCTTGCCAATTATTTTTTACACCGCGATTGCAATCAATGGGGGCGCCAAACGTGTGCCAAGAATCCATCTCGGTGAAGGGGTAGGACGATTTTACTGCTGTTGTCAAACGCGCTGCACTCTCTGCGCTAAAGTCAATGTTTTCTTCATTAGGTAGTCGTTAACCTTCATAATTAAGATAAAGCGCAGCCAGAGAGAAACGCACCCCTCCGCGAAAAGTCCTGGTGCGTCGGGTATTACGTCTTATCCTCTTGAAAACTTCCCCTCTCGGACGGTGGCCAAGTAGACACACGCATTTGCACGCGGACGCCAGTTTGTATCCCGAAATCGCAGAGAACAGATCGTTCAGATTCACGTTGAGGAATTTAAAACCGAGCTGTGGCAAAAGGCTTTTGAAAATGGTGAGTTCGAATTGTCGGATTCTTGGCAGACACGTTTGGTTAATTTTATGGTTTCTGGGTTCTTTGATTTTAAATTTCAACCGAAATACTCTGATTTCAGGATCCGAGCAGCCCACCCCCAGGAAGCATGGGGGCCATGGAGAGTTTACCTGAGGATTCACGGCAGAATAACAGAAACAATACTCCTACTGTAAGTTAAAAAATTATAATTGATAAATTTACTACAATTTCTATTATGTAATCCAATGTTCATTTCACCCATTTTAATTTGAAATTGGAAACTTGGTGGACAAGTAGACAATCTCATTTTATGCAGGTCTTCTTATTGGTATTAGTCAAATCTAGTCTGGGCAAAAATTATTGTTTAAATTTTCAATTGTCGTCCCGTAATATATAGTGGTTTTTACTATTTTGAAGACTTAATTTGACATTACCAATAAAAGATATTTAAAAAAAATTACTGAAGTCAATTTTAAAATGTACTGCAATTAGAAATTGAAGCGGTTATTTTTTAATTAAAAATATCAGGGAAATTATTTACGAAAATGCGTCAAAAAAATGTAATCCAAAATCCAACCACTCTTCTTAGTAAAGCGGAACTAAAATTTGAATGTTGGCCAATTTTTTGCGCACAAATGGCTCTCACATCAAAAGCATTGCGCAGTTGCCTCAAATGCGCACATCTTTTGCTCTCCCTTTGTTTTTTGTTTATAAATAAGCTGCTAATTATTGTCTCTCTTTTTTCCTTGAGGAAAACACTAGAATTTTTGAATGCGTGTTTTCGCGCGAAATGTGATCCACCAGGTGCTTTTCTGCATCATTCGCCAAAATAGACTCGCAAACAAAGTGCTGTTTGTAAAGTTTGATAGGACAATAGTAGCAAATGTTACTCTCTTTGCCAGCCAACACTTTGGCAAACTTTGATTATTAATTAACTCGCGAGAGCGTCAGAGAGGAGTGCGTCCAAGAATAGAAAACTCTTGCCGGGTAAAAAATAATGCAGCCCTTGTACTTGAGCAGCGTGAATTTATCTCCAGTTTCATAATTTCTATATTGCTCTGAGAGCAAAACGATCCTCCAGGGATGTAAATTTAGCCTTTGGTGTTTATCCTGTGCCACATGTGTGTATGTAAATAGTACAAAACGGTGCACGTTCCATTGCTTGTTGACTCAAAAGCTGCGACCGAATGTGATGGAAGTGCGCCAGAAAGTTGCTTTCGGCCAGCAACACGCCGCGCGCGCTCCACAGGGGCACAATTAAATTTCTAAAATGAATAAAAATTTGATTTAATTAACGCGGATTAAAGACATTTTTTAAATATTAAATTAATTTTTGCAATATTTTTTCAGACTTTGTCACCCACAGATGAAGTTAGGCAACTAGTTTTTGAGCACAGAGAAGAAGTGAAGAGCTTAATCAGCAAGTATGAGACTGAAATCAAATCACTTAGCGACGGCAACCTTCAGCTGCAGGAAGAAGTTTCAAAATTGCGCCTGGAGAAGGACGGCGCCGTCCTCGACAAAGTAAATTGTGAAAAAGAAATCGAGAGTCTCAAATCGCAAACGTTCGAGCTGAAACATTTGAACGAAAAATTGATATTTTATGAAGAAGAGTGCCAGCGGCTGCAGAAGCAGTTGCAGGAAAATGAAAAGACCACGAGAGAAACAATCAAATCACACACCGAGTCGGCAGCAGATCAAGACACAGAACTGCACGAACTGAAAATGAAACTTTTGGAGACGCAGTCGGAAAACAATACGCTTAAAACGCACATGAGCAGCATGGAGGTGGAGTGCAGCAAAATGACCAAGCAGCTGGAGGAGTTTGAGTTTGTCAAGGCGTCGCTGGAGTCGAGTGAGGCGCGGAGCAAGAATTACCGAGAGCAGCTGGACGACACGGAACAACTCAAGAAAAAACTGGCAGAAGTCGGCGAGGATTACGAAAGAGTGGTTGAAAAATTGAGGTGCGTTAATTCACAGCTAAATTTATACCGGCCGTACTTAATTTATTATGCGCAGGACTGAGGAAACAAGGTGGGCAGCTGAATTGGAGCAGAAAGTGCAGCAGGCCAAGTGGGAGATGGGAAGTTTGCAAAAGTGTGTCGACAACCTCTTGAAGGAAAACGGTCAGCTCCGAGATGATCTCACAAAGGTAAAATTTATTAAGTAGCAGACAATAAATCTGCCAAACTTGGCCTATTTTACCATTTTAGAATATTTCTTTTGTTCTTCTCTCTTGGTGAAGCAAAATTGGGTTTATTATTTTTAACTCTTGACATTTACTCTGCCGGTTATTAGGCTAGCACGACTATGGCAGGCTCACGTGACAAGTACTCGACAAATGAGCTGTACGTCCAAAAACTAACAGAACAAGTCACTGCTCTCAAAGACGTTGTCTCGATCGGCAAACAAATGCTGGGCATGCGAGACACGGAGGTGGCGCAGCTGCAGCGAAAGGTGCAGAACCTTGAGGACATGCTGGAAGCAGAGCGGGAGAAGAACACAGTCCTCAGCAGCGCCTTCAAACCGGAGTCGATGGCCAACACCGACCTGAAGAAGGAATACGAGAGCCAGTTGGAAAACATCAGGGCCCTCAAAACTATTTACGCGCAAAGGATAGAAATCATGACCCTGGAGAACGAAGCTTTGAAAGAAGCTGGTGAGGATCGAGACAGGCAAATCGAGCTGATGAGCAAGAGATACAAATGTTTGGATGAGCAGTACGAGAGGATGAAGGAGTCTTTTGCAAAGAAGGAACAGGAAGTGTTGGAGTTGCAGGATAAAATTGTAGCTTCCTCCGAGGAGTGCAAATCTCTCACCACCCAACTCGCCATGATCAACAACCTTTTTGCCGAGCTGGGCAAATCGGACGTTGACGCCGAGAAAATCAAATCGCTTCAGGAGGCTGTGACTGACGACTCTGACAACAGCACCAACCACTCCAAGGTGTGGGGCGCTTTGTCGGACATCCTGGAAAACAACCCTGAAGGTCCGCAGCCTCCTGTGAGCGGCTCCGAGGGCTGCTACAAGAGCATAAACACCCCCACCGGCCCTCAAAACGTAATCAGTGTGAGTCAGACCTTCCTCAGGCTGAAGGATCTTATCCTGGAAAAGAAATCGCTGGAAAGGGAACTTGGCCAGCTGAGGAATTTGAACGGCCACCTGGAGTCAAAGCTTCACCAGCAGGAGAGGCGTTTGTCTCTTGTTCTGCTTGAGCTGAAAAAGACCTGGGGCGTTGTGAATAAAATGAGAACTCAGCACTCGCAGCTGCGATCTTCAGAGGCCATCCTCAGGTACGACATCCAGCAAAAGAGGAAAATCGTCAACGAGCTGAAAGAAGAACTGCAGCACTGCAACGATATTTGGAAAAAGGCCAGAAACAAGACGAGAGAGTCGGAGGAGACCTGGCAGGAGCTGAAAAACGAATTTGTCTCGAGGCGCCGCAACCGACCCCTGGTGCCCGACGACTCACTGGAAATGAATTCAGGGGAAAGTGGCTTTTCCGACGACAGGGGTGACGACAGCGGATCCACCTCTGAAGGCGAGGAAAACAGCGGAGGAATCACCGGCAGCGAAAGGTCGTCCGAGTCCGTTGTGACACCCGAGGAAACCTCTCGACCCGGCAGCTCAAATTTCACCGAGTCAACCATCAGTGACGAAAATGAAAATGCTTCAAGTGTCAAGTCGGTTGGAATTTTCACTCCCCGCGCGCCTTCGGAATCAGTCCAGACTCAAGAAGAGCAGGACAATTTGAAAAACGAACAGGCAGAGGCGCCGAGAACCGATTTTGAGGAGATGCTCGACGCCAGGGACGCCAGGTTGACGAGGATGGAGGAGCAAGCGAGTCAGTTGTTCAAAAATGTGGTGCGGACGTCCAACATGAGTGTGGCTATTTCGAACCGGCTAGAGGAATTGCACGAGCAGTACGGACCTGACACAGACGAGGACAGGGAGACGCGTCGGCTGCAGAGGAAGGAAAGGAGAGAGGCTGCTAAATTAGAGCCCAAGGAGCCAAAAGAGGAGGACCAGTTTTTTGACGCCGAGACCGAAGAATCGATCGAGGCTCGCAGACTGCAGAGGCGCGAAAGGAGAGAAGCGGCGAAATTAGCAGCCAGCAATGCTGACGACAGCAAATCACCTTCCCCTGCCTATCTGCAGGCAGAAAGCACTTGTGCCAGCAGGAAGAGCAGTTTGAGGCTCAAACTCAGCCCTGCTCGCTCCGAAGACCAAACCCCGAAGGTACATGTGCGTGCGCATGACCTCGTCAATTAACAGAGCTAACGGATTGATGGTTTTTTTGTTGTTGTTTCCTGTGACTTTTGATTGTTAGTGTGATTTAACTAATTAACTGAAAATTTAAAATTATTTGTACAATTTCAATTAAAAATTTTCTTTACAGGTCACAAAAGAAAAAGACGAAGTGGCTGAGAAACTGCTGGCGGAGCAAGCTGCGAAGGAAGCGAAAGAGGCTGAACTGGCTAAGCTGTTGGAAGACTTCAACTGTCAAAGTGAAACGATTGCTCAGACAAAAAAGGAACTGAAGAGGCTGGAAAAGAGTTTGGAGGACGAGGCGACAGGCAGGGAAGATCTTAAGGAGACTCTTGCCACGACTTCAAAGGAATGCGTCGATTTAATCCAACAGGTTCAGGAGGTACTCAATTATTTTAACTCTTCACCTCAAATACTTAAGTGCTTTTCTAACAGTTGAGTGAGACTGAAAACCAACTCGGAGCCAAATTGCTTGCTAAGGATGCCCTGCTTTCTGCTCAAGGCGAGGAAATGGTTCAACTGCAATCCGACATCAAAAACCTTCAAGAGCATGTCATGAATTTAGTCAAGTAAATTCCAAATTTCATTCAAGTGAGAGAAATTTCATGTATTTTATTCAGGCAAAAGGAGAAACTTTTCAAAGAGTGCTACCAGCTGAAGCAAGCGAACCGAGACCGACTGTGGCAACACGACAGCTTGGCGCAGCATTGCTCCTCCTGCAGAGTACAATTTTCTCTTCTCGTCAGGAAACACCACTGCAGACATTGCGGACTGATCTTCTGTGGTGCCTGCTCCAGCCATTGGCTGCCAGTCAGCAAGGAATCTAGGTATTAATTTTATTGTATCTAATAAGATGGTTATTAAATAATGTTTCATTTCAGTCGAAGAACTCGCTCTTGCTCAGAGTGCCATTCGAAGTTTCAAGAAAACTCAGATGCTTCTAACTCTGAAGAAACTGGTGCTACCTGCTTATCTGAGGATTCTACTGAGGGACCTATTTGTAAGAAAAACTTTTAACAAAAAAACAATAATTTTTATTTAATTAAAAAAAAAAAACAGCTTTTGATGTGCGGCCTGACAGTGACGACGAGGAAGACTTTTCTGTGATCAGTGAAGACGACGTGAACCTCTCCCAATGCGTTCCCTACACTCCCAACCCTGAAATTCTTCAGTACTGGAAATCAAAGTGATTATTTAGAATTAAGATAAATAAATGTTATTTAAACCTTCTTATTCCAATCCAGTGAGGTGCAGTCTGGAATGACGAAGCGTGTTGCGGAAATGTTGGGACACGGATTGAGTGAGGAGATTTGGGTTCGAGCCGGTGTCATTTATGGAGTCCCTCTCTTGGTCGTTGCCGAAGACTTGGCACCCCAAGTTAACATTACCTGGCAATTTTCTACTGAACCAAATGTAAGATTTCAATTTGTTTCATTGAAGGTCTTAAATTTTTTTATTTCATCAGTGTATAGCATTTTCGATCCTCTACAAACCTGACGCCGACGTTCCACCTGAAAATTCATCAATGTTGGTGCCCACAACTAGGGTCAATTCCCATTTGCATCCGATCAGGGGCAAGCTGAAGGCAAGGAAAGAAGGTCTTTACACACTAATGTTTGACAACAGCTATTCAAGGTAGATAAATTTATTTATATTAAAAAAAAAAACAGTGTTTTCCTAATTTAATATCATTACTCTAGGTTTACTGGAAAGAAACTGAAATTCTCCCTAACCTGTGAAGTTGGCCCAGGAAGTGGCAGGTCGTCTGCTGACCCTGAGTCTCCAGTTCGAACTGTCAGCAGGTCACCTTCAAAAGATTTGAAACCCCTAGCAGATTCAACTTGATCAATTGCTTTTCTTGCATTGTGGTTGGCATTTTAATTTCTTCTAATCAAAGATTCCTTGCACTTTGATGCAATTATTTGCGGCTCAATGTGTGTATGTCTGCTAGTGGGCGTGAGATGTATATTCATTTAACTCGGCGAATTACGTTGTATTTTTATAAAGAGCGAAATATGATATTTTAATGCCTCAACACAAAGGTTGAACCTGAGTTACCAGAGCGTGGTGCACTTGGATCCGAATTATCTGGTGACCACTGAAGATTTTCTCGGACGTATTAATATTTTTGTTCCTTATTTTATCGACTTTTAAATTTTTGTCGTGTTCGACAATTTTAAGCTTTTACTCATTTGAAAAAGAAAATAAAAGTTATTATTTTATTGGGAAATAATTGTTTATTTTGTAAATTAATAATCCTGGTTGATAAGAGAAATGAAAGAGGTAAAGTTAAATAGTTGTGCTTATATATTTACAAAAATCACACAGACTACGCCATGTTCATTCAGCTTGATAAAAAACTCTATTTCGTTCTGTAGTTGTATTATTCTTTTTTTTTACAAAATTTTATTTACATAACATAGAGGATTAAAACCACATTAATCACAATCGAAATAAATATGAAAAGTTCAAAATTAGGATTCATACTGTAGTCGCTTACAATTATTTTAAGCTGCACCAATATATAATTTTATTTGCTGGTGAGAAGGAATTAAATGCATAATTCTAATCAGATTCATAGTCGTCAAATAAAAAAGTGAGTATTTTAGTCCTAAATTTTAAAAAAGCTGCCTCATTAGAAAAAAATGAGAAAAATTGGTGGCACAGAAAGATTAATACAACAGTTACACAATGAAGTGACACCAAGACATTGACCATGAGTCCAGCAATAGAATTCGAGAGAGGTATTTTATGGCAAACGTGTTTTGTCATGGTACAGTATCACTCAACATGTACATACAATTTAATAATACTGCCGTAAAATAACTTTTTACACACTTACAAAAATGACACAATATGACTTTCATGTAATTTATAATTGCGTTCATGATCGGACTTGGCCAAAAATCGCAGCAGATTTGTACAAATTTTAAATGGGTGCTTTGATCGATTTCGCTGCTGATCAGACTTATGATTAGTGAAATTCATTTAACTTTGGTATTTGGTTAAAAGACGCGGGATGGCCTAATATTGTCCGGTGAAATTCTAAAACGTCAACTAGCGATGAATGCGAAACAGAATTTGCATAACTCCAATGTACAAAGCTGTCACCCCGCGTGCAGTATGGTTGATCCAATCAAAGCACCCCCTAAACTCTCGAATCAAAAATTCAAATGTTGGAGACTTTGCCGTCGCCGTGGAAGGAGCCCATGACGTGGTGTTGGCCTCCGCCCCGGTGAGGACTCTGGCAGGCCTGCTGCTGTTGGCCCCTCAAGTACTGCACTGCATTGTACTGGGCGGGCATGTTGGGGTTGAAGGTGTTGAAAGGGCTCGATGCGTAGGGCTGCGGGTACGCTTGGTGGTGAGGGTGGTGGTGGCTGCTGAGTTGAGTGGAGCCGGTGTTGTTGCTGGGGCCAGTGCTCGAGCGCTGACTGCTGCTGCCGCCTATGCTTGGCGCGCCTGGAATCACAGAAAAACTGTTTTCAACGCCTCGTTGAGTCCCTTTTGCAGGAGATGCACCATGATAGGGCACTTGGCAAAGCCAATTCTTCAAATTTTTACAAAGATATCAAAAAATTTAGCGAATACTCTGGTAGGGATTGTAATTTTTTCAAAAAGTGAAAAATAAATGTAATTAAAAATGAAATATTTATAATAATTCTAATTTGCAAAGAAAGAACACTTAAAAGAAAAATCAGTGTAAAAAATATCCTCACCAGAGCTTCGAACACCAATAATTTTTAAAACATGCAACAGAACACCACAGTCTACACATTTCATTAAAAAATTTAGATGTCAAGTGCCCTTTGCAGGTGCACTTCTCCTCTTAAAAAAAATAGCTTGGCAATTTGATTGCAGATCCAAGCCACACATGGATTGCAACACCTAATAGGAAACCAAGTTACCGTGGGAAGGGGTGGGTGCGGGCATCGCACTCCACGTCCGTAGCCGGGCGTGAATTTCGGGGAATGATGGTCGCCGGTAAGGAACTTCGTGCCAACACTCCATCATCAGCGAGTAGATGCGAGACGGGCACGAATCAGGACAAGGGAGGAGTTGTCTCGACCTGATCATGTCAATGACTTCTTGGTTGCTGTATCCATAATATGGCTGTAATGTGGATTAAGTAAGGAATGGAAATTTTTTTTAAGAAAATGCATTACCTGTAAGCCATAGCTGTAGGTTTCCCACAAAACCACTCCGTAGCTCCAAACATCACTCTCAGTTGTGAACTTGCCATATAAAATTGACTCTGGTGGCATCCACCTGGAGTTTGGATAAAGAAATTTAGAATATAAGAATTAAAATTAAGACTTTCTTTTTACCTGACTGGGAGTAAAGACTTAGATTGTACTCTATAGTAGTCCGACGAGTAAATGTCTCTGGAGAGTCCAAAGTCGGAAATTTTTACAGTCAGATTGTCTCCGACTAGGCAGTTTCTCGCAGCCAAGTCTCGGTGCACATAGTGGTGACCACTCAAGTACTCCATGCCTGGGAGATTAAAAAATTTTAACACCTCATATTGATATTAAATTATTATATTTTACCTGCTGCTACTTGAATAGAAATGTGAAGGAAATCTGCTTGGTCCAGCTGAGGTCTGCGGATTTCTCCAGCCTCGGGCTCGTTGAATGGGGAATGGGCCATCAGGAACTCGTGAAGATCACCCTTTGAAATTAAAATGGTAAAAACCACGATTTGCATGAAATTTTTATTATTACATGTGCCATGTATTCGAATAGCATGCACAGCGGCTCTCCTCGAAGAACGACTCCCAACAGGCAGACGATGTTCGGATGCCTCAAATCGGACATCAAATCCACCTCCCTGCGGAAATCCTGCTGCGTTTTTGCGGTGGCATTTTCCTTGAGAGTTTTAACAGCGACAGGCGTTGGCATGCCGTCCAGCAACAGCTCTCCCTTGTAAACCTTGCCTGAAAATTTATTATGAAAAACCTAGAATTTGAAATTTTTATATTTTAACTAACCAAAAGCGCCTTCTCCTAGTTCCTGGAGCAGACGAACATGCTCCTGAATGAATTCCCTGGCTCGGCAGCCACCGGTCGAAGAGGAACTTCCTGCTCCAGAGTGTCCGCCGTCGGAACGAGGACCTTTTTGGTGAGAGCCTAAAAGAGAGCTCATTTCGACGAGTTGCCGCGAGTCCTGCTGCTGGCCAGGAATCATGATTCCACTCCCTTTGCCTAAAAAATGCAGTCAGTTCACTCAGTTAAAACAGTCAAGCAAAATTGGTAAGAAAATTATATAATCGACATACCTATGGAAGCGCCTCCGTTCCTCGGAGAAGGGAAAGCGTGCGTTGGACGTCTGGCTTTGCTTTTGCGAAGTCTAATGCAGCAGTAGAGAAGGAGTAGAAGTACGATGAAGGTCACACCTGCAGCTCCGACCACGGCATACAACCACATGTTGTCCACTAGATTCATAAATCAAAATGAAATTATAATCAAGATTGAATTCATTATTGGCTAGATTCATTTTGGTGGATATTAAGATAGAAAATATGAATTTTACTTGAAAAAACTTGTAAATAAGAAATAAAACTCACCGCATTTAGGAATAGCGCAGAGTTCCCTGTGAGAAGGTCCAACAAAGCACCAGGGTTGCTGTTCTTGGCCGCCTGGGTTGCGGCAGAAACTGTGTCCGCCGCTCAGCTCAGGGAATTCGGCAGGTTTCAAGCCTGACTGCTGCATTGACCAGGCCATGCAGGGCCGCCCTGAGGCTGAACTGCTCTCAACGCCCCTGTAATCTTGGCCCCTATCCTTGAAACACCCATGCTCTGGGATGACAATGTTGTGTGCGTGAGGAATTCCGAGACGCTGACAGTCTCGGCTGTCGTCAGACCCAACTGGTGGCAACGAGTTGCAGTCGGGCAGCACAAACTGCTGGCCAATTGAAGGGTGTCTCTTGGCAATGGCAACCTATGAGGAACAATGTTTTTCATTTTTAACATTTCAAAAGTTAATAAGTAAAGTAATATATTTGTTGCATTATTATTAAAAAAGTTATTATACAAATAAATATAAATAAATTGGAAAAATTTAAATTATTTTCTTCTTAATTAATAAAAAAATTATTTTTAACTCTAAAAGATATCCCAACTGAGAATTTAACCAATTTTCAAGTTGATTAATTACAGAAGAATTGCGTTGAAGGATATTATTTTACCTCGACTCGGCATAAATCTTGTTCGAGCAGCTCGCATTCCTCTCGACACACAACCCTCGGTCTTCCACTTTCCTCTGAACAAACTGGGAAGGCAGTGTAGCAGAGGGACGGTTTCGCAAATTCAGAACATCTCATGGACAAGTCACTAAAATTTTGAACACAAATTTGAATTTCGTAGAAAATTTGAAATTTGATTTAAACATACGGAGATGATTTGATGACGGAGAAAGCAGCAGACAATTTTTTCTCGATCATGGTTTGACCGATTGCTGTGACAAAAACAGAGCCGTTTCCAATGTAATCGGCGCAGGCCTTGCCTCGATACGGCTGACAACCAGCCTCCTCAGCGTGTGCTGGCAAATGGGCCGGCAAAAAACCTTAAGAAAATTATAAAATTTAAATAAGATAAATAATTTGAATTTCAAAAGTATTCCGTGTAATCTAATAAATAGGATTAAATATTAAATGTATCTCAGAAATTCCAAATAAATGATATAAAAAAATAATTAATAAGTATAAAATAATAATAATTTAAAATTAATGTTGTATGTATATTTGTAAATAATTTAACTTATAATTTAATATAACCTTAAAAAATACTGATTATTTTTATAAATTATTAGAAAACTTTTTGTAAGACGATATAACGATTATTTTAAAATCGAAACAAATTTACAAAAATTTGACTTCCAATTAAAATATCAACGCAAGTATTGTGTATTTAAATAAAAATTATATTATCCTCAAAATAAAAAAAAGGAAATGAAATCCATATTATTTTCTGATAACATAAAGTAATTTAAACTCATTATAAATTAGTCCAAGTTCTTACCAGGATGTCCAAGTCCAGGTCCTGGCATATCGAGACCTGCCCCTGCGAGGCCCCCGGGATGGCCTCCAAACGCCGGCGGCGATTTTCCCAAATCGTCGGGGCGAATTCCACCCTCGAAAATCACCCCTTTCTCCCCAATCATGCCCATTTCGTCGTCGTCGTGGTCGAACTCCTCCTCGGAATGGTGCGAGTGGGAAATGTCGTCCGGCAAACTGCAAAACAAACACATTCAATGAGTGGTCCATCATCAAGCAATGGGATGCTGCGCGGCCCTTTGATCTGTTTTGGTTTTGAGGGCCAATTTACCTGGTGGTGGTCGCGACCTCCTCGTACGCGACCGTGTCAGTGTCGGCGGCCGCGGCCACGCAGGCGGCCAGCAGCACGAGCCGCGCGATTCGGCCCCCGAGTGCCATTTTAATTCAACATTCGGCCCGAAAAATCTCAAATCTCGATCGCGCTCCTCCGAATCTGCCCCGCATCTGGTTTATTGACATTTTGCGAGGCGGTGCTGCCACCTAGGCAAACGCCATAATCGTGATGGTTATTGCTACGGAAGCCACGCGGGTTGCATACCGCGCAAGTATCATCGAAGCCGAAGGGGACTCATTGGTGGCGGAGAGACTTTCGCGTGTTTCAACCCGTACGTGGGCGCCGCGGGGGTTGCGAGGGCTGCGGACGATTGGCGAATTTGTTTGTTCCGGAGAGGGTGAGCCGATATCACTCTCCAAATATTTAGGATTTAAAACAATTAAAATTAAACTTGCTTTCATAATAAATAGCGTCATTAATTATTATAAGGAAGAACAAAATTGATTTTTCGTGATTTAAAAGACTTCTGTATCGTAAAAATTAAAAAATTAAATAGTAAAGAATAAGAAAAATAAAAAATTGATAAAAATTCAGAATCAAATAATATTACGGATGAAAATAAGTTTCAGATAATTCACAACAGTCGGAGCAAATTTTTATTATTGCCGAGCGTTCTGATGGGGCACAACTTTACTTGTTCACAATCATTGTTGTGATAGCGCGCAATTGGAAATATTTTCCTCTTTTCCCTCACACATTATAATTAGCCAAAAATTGAACCATTTATCTATATAAGAATTCTGATTATCTCAATTTTTTTTTTTAAAACTTATGTAATCTTATCACATTTTAATGCCGCATTTTCTTTTATTTGTAAAAACAAAATCAAATCAACAATGCAAAACCGCTTGAACCTTAAAAAATCGGCGAATAATTTTTAAGCAAAGCAATTCCACGCTGCAAAATTGCCCCTATCGATTTGCTGTGCAGCACTGCTCGCTTGAGTTTGATGAAGATTAAACGAAATCTTGCAAGATTTCATATTATTTTCTTTCTTTTTGTTCCCCCTCATCTTCGTGCCAATTATTGCGCAGCTTCAACTTGTCGTCTTGTTTGCAAGAAAAGCGGCGGCGGAGGAAAGAAAATGAAAATTAGCCCCCTCGCGAACACGGGAAATGATGGAAAAGGAGCAGAGAGCTAAATTGTATGAAGACTTTCAAGTCGCACCTCGGCGCAAAAAAGTTAAATTTGATTTCCTCACTTTCTCCTCTCCCGTCTCGAGTGAAATTTTGCTCTCATCTCGCGCGCTGGCGCGTGGAAAATAAACGCGAATTTATCACGGGTGATGTGTTTAGATCTGCTTGGAACTTACTTTCTGGAGAATTCGTCCAATTCGGAGAATGAAGAATGGGGGTAGTTCTGAAGGGTTGTGCCGCCCGGCATGCCGCCTCCTGTGGAGAAAGGGAACAGGGGACATCATTAATTTATTATATTTACCATTTTCCATACAATAATAATGTGTAAAAGTTTCTGAGGACTGACATATGACGCATATTTTTAGGATAATTTATGCAAATATGCAGTTGAGGTTTTCCTGAAGTTAAAAAAGTGAATTCATATTAAGACGAAAAAAAATAATAATGACATTATTTAGGAGGAAGGGCGGAATTTTTTGGAATGTGGTAAAACTGATTTATTCGTATTTTGGTTTTAAATTCTAGTTTTATTAAATTATAATGTTTTTGGATCTATAATCAATAAGATCATTAACAAGTTTTGGCATAATAATAATAATGTTTAAAGATTTTAAAATGTTTCATATTATTCTCAAAGACCTAGAGAATTATTAAATCCAGCATATCCAATAATTGTTAAAATGTAATTTGGTAATCATGATTCAACCCAAGTATTTAATTATAAACTAAATATAAAAATTTAAGTAATAGCCAGCTAAATATGCATTATTTAATAAACAATTATGAGAGTGAAAAAGATAAAAAGAATATTTATTTTTATTATTTGATAAAGTTAATATTATAAAATGTATATAAAAATTTCAATAAAGGATATTTTATATTACTTAAAATAAAATAAATATAAATTTATTTAGATTTCTTGATTTTTGTTAACTTACCCCACTTGTCGGCTTCAACCCTGACGACGGAGGTGGTGGAAACCTTTTGCTTGCCGTTGGAAGCCTCGCAGGTATAGAACCCTGTGTCGTGCACCTCGAGTTCAGTGATCCTGAGGCGTGATCCGTGCGCGCCGCCTCCCAACTTGCGGACCGTCACTTTGTTGCGCTTTTCCTGTGGATAAGCAACGACGTCCCGTATCAAATTTCGAAGCTCAATAAACCCAAATTACTCTGAGGACGAAAGAAAGAAAGAAAGAAAGGCAGTGCAATGCACAAGCAAGCTTCTTGGAAGAAGAAGCGTGACATCATTATGCAGACCACACACAAACCCATTTTCATTCACTCATCTCCAATCACCGAAATTGAAATTCAGAAATTTTAAAATTTGTATGTGAAATTTCTAAGTCGATTGATTTTAAATTAGCAAGCATTAAAAGATGTATTAAAGGAGATGAGTTGACTAAAACCTAAAAAAATTATAAAATTTAGTAAAATATAAAATTAAATTTTTTAATTTTGCTTAGCCCTAATTGTATGACATAATCCTGATTAGAAGTTACACAAATATTTAATTATTTGTTGAGTAAATCATAAGAGAAAAGGGGAAATTTGTTTGGAAAAAAATCAAGACATAAACTCTAATTAAGAAATATATGCTAAAATATTTTCAGATCAGATTCACTTTAAACCTCTCCTATTAAAAAAAAAAATGTTAGGCGAGGAGATTGATTGACCTTTTAGACCCACTGAGCCCATTGATTTTGTCTAACAATCGTAATATTCGTTCTGAATATCACAATTGAAAATACTTTTTTTAACAAAAATAAATTTACAGACTTTGAAGTTCGCATTACCATTATTTACATTGTTGACTTTACTTCTTTGTAAAAACTTGTGTGGGTCTAAAAAAAAATTCCCAAAAAGAATATTTAATGTGTTTGCTCTCAGCACTCCGCCGTTTATTTAAACCGCAAACATCTGTTCCGCTCATTAATTAGGCAGGCAAATCAGCTTTGTGCAGGCAAAAAAAATCTGAATATATATTTATTCAAATGCTGTGCAAACAACTGCAGACAAAAAGGCGGCGGCGAGATATATTTTAAGGAAAAAATCAACACCCCCGGCAGCATCAGAAATGAATTAATGGAAGAAGCAGAGAGGAGGAAAAAAAGGCAACACAGAATTAATTTTCAATTTATTTCAGCGGCACGGCTGGTTGCATAATTCATGCCTGGGCTGCAACCAGCATGCCACACTAAATAAATAAAGCGGGGTGTCATGCAGGTGGATGCGCGGCCGGGGGTTTTCAGTCGTAAATCTCCATTAGGAAGGTACGCGTCTCTCACCTGGAGGGGTGCGTCGTTCGCCAGCCACCTGAAGCGAGTGGGCGGCGGGTCGCCTTCGGCCTCGCACTTCAACTTGACCGTGTCTCCGACCTTCTTGGTCACGTTCTGCAGCGGCCGCACGATTCGCAATGTGCCTGTATGAAAAATTTATTTATAGTTTTTCCTCGAGACGCCGCCAGACGAGTTTTGTATTTAAACGCACAGAGAGAGGGAAAATAAAATTAACGTTTGCCTCTTTTGGATTTTTTGAGCATCATTAATTATAATTTCTTGGAAAAGCAAGAAAAAGAATTTCATAATTATGAATTATTTTAATTGTGTCGTAAAGTTTCATTGTTTACATAGAATTATAAAACTAAAAAGAAAATAGAATTTTTTTTTGTAAATGTTATAAATTTGGGAATTCTTATATAATATTATTTAATTGACTTGATAATAATGTTAATTTTATTAAGAAGAAATTTCTCAAAGCTCCGAAAAACCACAATTTTTTTATTTTTTATTATCGTTTATATTAAATCTTGAATTCAATTTTTTGAAAGACACGATCGAATTAAGAAATTTAAAAAAAGTTTATTTATTTATTTTTCATCTCCGAAAAATTACAAAATTTTATTATAGCTTCACTTATTGCAATATTGTGTGGATAATGATAAAATACTCTCAAAGGAAAAAATTATTTATTTAATCTGGATCAAAGTTGAAATTTTAATTCTAGCTCGGAAGGTCCGAAAAGCGATTGAGCGAGGTCCTTTTTCTCTCTCCAAACTATACTTTTTGCTCTATATCTCTCCTCTCTATTTCAATTTAGCCGTTTTCGTGAATTCTCGCGAGGAAGATCGGCCGAAATGAAATGTCTATACAAAGAATTCCTGGCATACCCGTGGGAGCCGTTGCGCCGACTGTTGAGTGATGAGACGGCTCGGAGGTTGAGTTGCCGTCGCCGGAATGAGTGGCGAACGCAGACCTGCAATCAGGGAATTGGCGTGTCATTTCACTTGTTCAAAATAAACACGCGCGACAGCACGTGGGGGTTTTCTAGGAAAGCAAAAAGGCAAAAGCGAGAGGCTTCTGGGTTTTTGGGGAAGACGAGTCAATAGCAGCTGCTATAGCTAGATTTCTGAAGTTTAAATTGATCAAAGGGAAAAGGAGGTCATTTTCTTTTTGCAAGAAATTACCGAGTGAATATGGTAGGAAGTCTGAAACCAACGGTTTTGAAATACCCATGATAAATTATTAAAAAGAAAATTACAATATAAATAATGTGATTGTATAATATAATTATTAGACAAGTAAACTGCAATCCAAAAATTACGAAACTCTGGGCAGTTATGCCTTAGACAACAATATACAGTTCCAAAAGGTATATGAAAGTCCGAACCAATTTAAAATAGGAAAATAAATATATACAGCCTGTTCTGGCATATTTTGTATAATATTATGTGGTCCATACATACTTCATCGTATATCTGATTTGTTTGCAGTGTTTGCACAATGATAAATTTAATGTGTTGAACAGGGCTTCCTCCGTGAAATGATAAAATTTTTATATTTATAAAGTTTACATCGGCATAAGACACTTAATGTACTTATTTGTATATTGTTGTTTAGTTATTATTAGACAGTAAATTCGCTTTTAAAAATTTGTACAAAAATGAACATTTTTGCACTGTAAAAATATATATTAAAAAATAAAATAAAATTTTAATATGTCATTTATGAGAAAAATAATGAAAAGTGCTACATTAATTTATAAAAAAAATAAAAAAGGTATTTAAATTTTATTTTATTTATAACTAAATTTTAAATTTGATTTTACTATATAGCTTTGCACTTATGCAGAGTTTATGATAAATAATTGATCCCTATGGAGCACTGTCATCAAAGAGCCATTGAGTAGAGCGCAATTCAGGCACACACACACCATTTAACGTTTTGCGCTGCTTGTTTATTGCTCCATTGTGTGTGGCTGCGCAAAATGTAGGCAAAAAGTAAACGCGAAGACGAACGGTCGGCAATAAAACAAGCGGGCGAAAGGGCTCGTCGCCCTCTCTGCTGCAATGCTGGTGGCCGCGTGCGTATGAATGAGAGAAAAGAGAGATGCTGTTGCGAGATGAACGCGAACACAATAAACACGAGAGCGCAAAAAGTGGGCAATAAATAAAGCGCCATAAACCACACGCACGCTCAACCTGTTGTTTGCCAACAGATAAACCGCACAGAGCACGGCCAAATATAAATAAAAAATTTTGCATTTTAAGTTTTGTATAAAGTGAGGGCGTTACACATTTTATCGCCTCGGAAATAAACATATATTTGCTCGCCGGGGCCACGCATTAATTTTTCCCCGGCTAAATATTAGGCGGACGTGTTGACCGAGCGTGTGCGAAATGAAACCAAACACCTTAACAATCAGCCAGGCGATAAATTGTGTTTGAGAATTGATGTAATTCGCGCTTTTTAGCATAAAATTAATCTGTCTGGTTGCTAGAGCTGAAGTTTATTTTAGCAAAAGGTAAGATTTATTGCTCGGCAGGACACCTAATTTATTCCTGTATAGATTTTATCCGCCTAATTTGTTTCTTAATATAAAAATCGTACGGTCTCGGGGAAACAAAAATCAACCAGGAAAGAAAACATGCTGAGAATACCTAAATTTCCATGTTGGGGGTTTTTTCAGTAAAATTGTTATTTAAATTGTAAAAAAAGCAGCCATAACAATTAAATTGGCTGTCTTTAGTTGACTGGAAGTAATTTAAAAAAAAATATATATATTTAATTACATTGAATCAAAAATTGTGAAACTTAAAATACTATAAATTAATTTTGCAAAATATGTAATTCTTATTGAAATAAAATTACAATTTTAAGCTTGATTTATTATTTATTGTAAACATTGGAGGTGTATTTCATAAAAAATTGAAACTGAGCGAACTAAAGACAAAAAAATATTTTTTCGTTTTTTTCTTTGCAACAAGGTTGACTCGCTTGTTTCCATTAAATTCTATGCAGAAGTAAATAAAGATTTTATTTCTTATCGTTTTCATTCATTTTTGAATTTGTATGAAAATTAATAAAAATCATTGAAACAATTGAAAAAAAGAATAATTAAATAATCTTAGTCACTTTCAAGGCTTCTGTAGTTTTTTTTCTAAATAAATGAAAACATGGCAGAAATTTAACAGAATCCAATTTTCACGATGATTAATGCCCCGCGCGTCAGCTTAAGTAATTTTTAAGTCTTCACCGTGCAAAAAGTTCTTAAAGCGCACGGGATGAAAAAAAAATATATTAACGAATTTCGCAGCGGCAGAAAAACGGCGACGGTGTTGGATTACAGCTCGTTCGCTCGCCCACTTGCTCTCGTTTTCCGTCCTGAGATGGGAATTCTGCTGCGCTAATAAATCTCGTGCCCGATGCGGCGTAAAACCCTCGGCATAATCTCGTCCTTAATTATCATAAACTGCGTGCATCGCTAATTAAAACTGGTGCCGCCGCCGGATTTGCTTTCCTGTGAAGGCCGTTTGCATATAATTTTTAATTCCGAAGCATGGTGTGGTGAAAAATTCCTGACGGGACTAATCCCTGAAATAAATGCATATTTATCAAACTCGAGACTCTCTCCTTATTGATTTATTTCTTTCCGAGATCAGAAAAAGCCGACACTTCCATTTCTCGGCTCAAGTTTATTGATCTCGCGTGCATTTTGGAGAAGAAGAGAATCCGGTCCATTATTCACACCTCATATCCTAATGACTTTTGAAGTTATAATTAAAGATAATTAATTATCCGCCGATCTATAAAAATGATATTTTCCCGCGCCGCTCTCGAGATCTCTTTTTAACTCATGCAATGGCGCGGCGGAGAAATGATTAATGGCCCCGCTCTGAAGACATCTGTGCTCTGCCCCACATTAAAATAATTAAAAGTACGACAATAACGAATTATATACTCTGTTATAATAGTTGCAGAGGAGCGACTTTTTGCGTCGGCCCGTTATCAGCGAATGGCAGAGAGGGCAACTATGAAGTACTCACAGGCTTTCTAGCACCACCACTAATGGCGTGTGTTTGCAAATATTCGCCGGGCGGGCCATCTAAAGTTTTAATTGGCACACGGAGTAATTTGCTAACTACTCCACAAAACATGCAGAGAGCAAGACGAGAGGCGAAAAGAGTCGCTCGCTCCCCTGCTCGCTCTGATCTGACTAAATTAATTTAAAAAGTTTTGGATTTTCTACATTTGCGTTATGAGACGCTGGAAAAAATGATCAAGATGTGCAAAAGTTTTTATTTCTAATTCCACTTAAAAGACTTCTACCATTTTTAATGAAAATATATTTTTTACCATCCACTTTCAAAATAAAATTGATAATTTGCGCCGATAACCTTGTCTATTTTATCATTGATCAAAGAAAACTTCAGCTCTGTATATAGTTAAAAATTATTAAATTAGTACTGTGACTAATCGCCTTGACGTGGAATTACGTTCCAAGACGACGAGATATTTGAGACAAAGCTGGTATGTAAAAAAGTTGGTTGTGACAAAAGAAAATTCCTGTCGTGATAATAAACAATTTTAATAGAGGGCGAAAATTTCCCAAAATTAGAATTCTTTAAAACCACCCCAAAAAAATGTATTTAGGAAATATTTTGTATCTTGCAATTAGAGTTTCTTCGATAATTTTTAATATTTTGTATTTAAAAGTTATGCATTATTGATACAAATGGGTATACACAGCAGGTTCATGCAAAACTTCCTGTTCAATTACATTATTCTGTACTTTTCATTAGTTATTTAACAGAACGAGAAAATGTTCTTATGTTTTCATATTTATAAAACATAGATAGCAAACATTTTAATATTCTTATTAAAATTTATCTCTGATAGTTGCTTGATTTGATTGTGAAATAAAATAATTTAATTTAATATTTAAAAAAATAAACAAATTTAGTAATAAAAATAAAACATGACGAAAATTTTTTTAATGTTAAGAATAAATATTTTATTAAAAGTATTTAATTAAAAAGTAATTCAAAATAAGTAAAAACGTCATCATTGCGACATAAAACTGAAGATTGATTAGATGTTTAATATCCACTTCACGGGGGGCCTTATAAATATGCATTAATACAAAAAAAGCGTGTGGCCATCTCACTGCTACAGCACAAGACAGAGTTTCTCTAATCACGAATTAATTAATCATCGGCGCTCCCACTCGCCGCCGTATGTCATGAAGTCCGATCCAAATGCGCACCCATTCGAACGCTATTTCCCTACATTTCGTCTCGGCCATAAATTTCAAATTCAATAATATTCCTCGGACAGCAGGTCGTGGCGATCGTGCACGTTGGAAGGAGCAGTAAACCACATTATATGCGCGACCTGAGCGACGCCGACCTGCCGGACCGCATTCTGGACCGAGATTTAAAAAAAAAAATACGGTTTTATGTACAAGAGCAGCGCAGAGGGTCCTCCCACTCGAGTAACAGGTTTTGTTGCACCCGACTCGTTATTCCAAAGTACCATCTGAGTGAGGCGTATGACCAACATGTGTGTGGTCACAAGGGCAGGGCTCCAGTTACTCGTGATTTCTATTAATTTCTATAATAGTTGTAAATATACAATTTGTTTAATTTCCGATACGGCTTGAAATTAAAGAAAAATCCGTTTTTTTTTGTAAATTGTACATTTGAAGGAGAAAAATTTACAATATTTTTGAAGGAGATTAAATTATGTTTTAAATTTATTATAAAGCTATTTGATGAAATAATGAAAATTTTCACTTCAGATTTCCAAAGCAGCTTTAAAAATTTATTTTGATTCATTTGCCTTAAAATAACATCCGTCTTTCTTAAATGGAATTAGGTGAAATAATCGGACGGAAAATTCAATTATTCCAACCCTGGTTAATTTTGAATTTCATCTGAAATTCGACACACATGGGACTAAAATAAAACTTTCAGTCGCTTTGTGTTTGCAAGGGACGCATCGAACCGCAGTCCATTTGTTAGGGCCAAACCCGAGTGACCGCCGCACACTGTTGTTCACCAACACACACAAACAACACTTTGACCTCTCAGCCAAGTATAATTAAATCCGTTCTGGTCACACGAGTTGAATTAGCCGACCGAAATCATAATGGTTGCCTCCGAACCCTTTTCTTCTCCGAGCGAGTCCAAAGACTCAGGGGGCACCATTGTGCAGCAGGTAATTTGAAAGGAGCTAGGGTGTCACTTTTGACGTGTTTATTCTAATATCAAAGAGCAGCTTCCAGGGAAAAATAGTCCGAGGGCATGCGAGCTTTTGTGATGAAAAATTGCTGCGTGAAAATATCAGAGGAATAAATAAATGACTTTTGTTTGGGTCACGATGTTTGCCCTGCTGCAATGGCTATTGGGGGAGCTAATGGCCTTTTTCCAGGAAATGTAGCTGTTTCCAGCTCGTTTTGACACCTGCAAACACTAATGGTTGGAATGCGAGAAACGTGAGAAATTCAAATTAGAGACATGCGTCTGCAATGTATTTTTTTCCTTATTTATTTAAATATTTTATACTCTATTTTAATTATCTTTGAAGAAAATTCGATGACTGAACACATTTATGCAGAATAAAATTAAACGAAAGATTGAAATTGCTTCTTCAACATCAATAAAATTATTGATTTATTTTATGATTCATTATGTCGAATTAGACTTTTACCTTTTATAACAATACCAATTTTAATCTAATTTTAAATAGCACATCGGAAGAAGAAAATGATCTTTACTAATATAATTATTAATATATGAATCTTGCTATACAATTTAAACTGATTACATAATACTAATACTGCATAATTCTTAAAATAAAAAAATGAGTTTAATTAATTTACTGAATATAAAGAAATATTTACAAAATCAATATTTAATTAATAAAAATTGTATTATTAAAGTAAGGAAAATGTACAAATTAAATTATTAATATGTTCACTAAAATTTATTATAAATGAATTTGTGTATAATAACTTTAAATAGATATACCAATGCTATTTCTTCTAAGGAAAGCTAGAGTCCGTTAGGAAAATAACACGCACGCAATTTTCCTATCAGTCCGTGTGTTATATTTTCCGTTGTGCTGTCAAACACAGCAGGCGTGTATATGCCGTGGTGCGGCATAACGTGATGTGATCCCGCCACTTGGAACGGAAAAAAATTCTTCCGTGCCACATATTGCCAGCGCTTTATATAGGAAAACAATAAAAAAAAACACACGACCAATTTAAAACCCATTAAACGAAAACGCCTTTCTGGGAAATTCGCTTCGAATAATGAGAAAATAACAAGAACCGAATATGGCGCCGCCAATTTTATAATTTTCCATAACAAAACGATCAAGATATTTTTTATATAAACAAGTTTTTTCGGTAAAAGCTGCTTTGATTTTCCATTCAACCGTGGGCCGAGCAATTAAATCCATTGAGGGGGTTTCGAATTTGGTCAAATAAATAAATCTCCGCTCGTATTATGTGTTGGCGCGTAGGAAGTCACTTCAGCACCGTGGCTAATTATCCAGCAAATTAATCTCGAGTCTTGCTCCGGGTTTATCTCTTCGGCACCAAAACAAGCAAAGGCCCATTTAAATTAAGAGGCGAAATGGTTTTGGCCGCTGCTAATTTTTCGTGTGGGTTTTTGGGCGATTCATGGCGCAAGGGCGGAGAGGAAAAAATTATGAATTGCAGCGGAAAGATGCAAATTGAGATGTCTCAGGTTGAAATTTACGATCTTGAACGATATAAAGAAATAAATTGAATGGTTATAAACTTCTAAAATTAATTTTTTGTGACAAAAATGTTTTTAAAAGAAAACAAAAAGCAACACAGTTATTAAAAAAAAATCATTTCACTATTATATACTTTTTTTGAAATCTAAAATTTTTTATTCAGCGATGGAGAACAATAATATTTAATTACAATTTTTATTATTTTTACTTCTTCTATCATAATTTTGATTGAGATATGAGAAACTTTTCCATCAAAATTTCAAATATTGTTTGTACTTTAAACAGTTTTGATAAAATAAATTAGCTCCTACAGTACAAAAATAAATTACAAAAGTTAAAATAAAAGATTTTAGCTTTTAACGATGATGTTTGAGTTTCCAATCAGCAATTAATGAAGAATTTCAATGTCAGGTAGTTATGCAGAACAGAAATTATTGCCCATCTCGGACAAGTTTGTTGCACCGGCAGTTAATTTTAATTGGCTCGAGTCCAAATGCTATCGCCGTGTGTGCCATAATAATTAATGAGAATCCGACTTTTTACTTTTTATCTCTCTCCTCCTCTCAAGAGCCGTCTAATTAGTATTTCCAGAGGCAACTGGTAGTAAAATTTTGCAGAGATTTATCGATTAGACTTTTCTGCCTCGGTGTGTGAGAAAATTTATATTTGATCAAAACGTGCTGCGAGGCCGGCGCTAAATTCATTGCGAGGATTTCACACACGAGCAGGGGCTGAAATTTAATACGCGGCCAGTTTGCGGCTTAAAAACTTGTCACGCTTGTGCGCGCGTCCGGGATAAATTCGCCTTTAAGTTTATGGAGAGCACCACATGTGCGGTCGGCAAGGGTTAAAAAGTTTCAAATCTCTTAAGAGCTGCAAAGAGAAATTTCACATAGTTCTCAAATTTGGGTGGGCCAACGTTGCATGGGGGGCGTGTTTAATGGAGGTGTCAAGCATTTTTACGGCAAAATATGATACTGCCTTCTGGGGGTTGCCCCGTATCGTAAAGAGACTTCTTTCTCTCCTGTGGTTTAAGGCTTTTCTTCTTTTACCTGCTGCTGAGCTGGCATCAGCCGCGTCTAGTGTTTCAAATTTCGTTTGCATCTCAAATGAGATGTGGAGAGAAAGAGGGAGTGAAAGAGAAAAAAAAACGGATTAAAAGATACCTAAACAAATTAAAATTAAAAAAAAAAAATACTCGGATGTTTAAAAATAATAATATTTTGATTAAAATTTAAAATTTATGGTCAATGTTTCTCAAAATTGGTTTACTCTGTGGTGTGATGAAATTTTTTGTATATAAAATAAATTTCCTGTATGATTTGATAAAAAAAAAAATCCACCAACTGATTTTCGACATCAATACCTATCACCTATTTTTCCATTGCTTCCAAAACTTGTATATCAGAATAAGTTACATTTTACCTTCCCAGGAAATAGTAAAACTGCTTCTTGCGGGAGGTAAAGCGTGAATTATGGCTTGAGGGGTGGAGAAGACGCAGCACTAAATTGTCACACAAAAGAATAAAGAAGCCACAAATCCAGTGCTGCGGGTCCGAGAAAATAAAAATGTATCAGGTGTCCTAGGCGTCCTTCTTGTTCTCTCTCTCAGGGAAAAAATATATTTTTCCCTCTCACGACTTTAAATAAAACATCACATTGTTGAAGTTGTCAAAACTTCCATTCTTGGCCTGGGAGAGGCTCGTCTTTCTCTGAATGAGAGGAGGATCCCCTCTTTTCCTCCCTTTTCTTGTGCAAGTGAATAGGTGCATTCAATCAGGCAAGGCGAATCGACAGAAATTTTAGTGGAATTTTCTTGTCCCTGCACGCGCTGCTGCTAAATCTGATTAGGGACACCCCTCTGACAAGCTTAAAAAGCACTCAACTCGGGAGATGCAAACTGCACTCGTCAAAATACCCAGAAACTTCGAGTTTGGGGTAAATTGCGTGGAATGTGAAACTCACCCATTGTTGTGGACGTCGTCCAAGGGAAGGTGATGGTCTTGGTGATCCTCATAAGCGTAGTCCTCGTTGTGCTCCTCGCCTCCGTGGTGGAAATCCTGATCTTTGTATGGATCTATGTGGTCTTCAGTCCAACCTTTAACAAAAATAATGAAAATTAATTATAGGCAAAGATGGAGATGAAATAATTCGCAGATAAATAAATTTTATTCTAGCCCTCAATAAAAACTTTTTATAAGAATTAATTGCTCATTTGAAAAGAGTTTTTTTTATAAAATCACAAAAATGTTTTTTTTTACAATATTTTTAATTCAGTCTGATAAATAAATTACGAAAACATCAAGTACCTTAATTTTTTTTTACATCAGTGTCCATTTATTATATTTTTTCAATATTTCCCTAGTGGATTTTTTTAAAGCGAAATTCTTAACCGTTTTGAGTGATCAACGATCGACGCTGTCACTTTTATTAAAGTGTCCATTCACCCTTTCTGTCCTTTCAGGTCCGAAATTGAATTTCACGGTGCGCTCTTTGTGGCCTTTTTTTGACATGCACCCGTAATGTGCGTACGAAAAGTAATTTTTTACGCGTGCCTGCTTTCATAGGCCACGCCGACGTCAAAACGTTGAGTCACTTAAGCCATCAACTCTCACACACATGTCGGCGTAACGCGATTATCGATCGAATTCTAATTTCTGTTTGCTCTGGACGGATTCGGGCTTTAACCCTTTTTACGACACGTCACGTTGCGGAGGCGGCAATGGAAGCTTTCACAAAAGCTCTCCAGATTCTTTCTTCTTTCCCAAAGACAGAGCCGCGTGTTTTAAGGGAGCTTCTCTCTCTTCCGAGCGGCGGTGCTGATTGAATAATTAATTGGACAACATACAAAAGAGCAATTCGTTGGCTCTGTTTCGAGAAGGCAATCAAAGGAAGAGAAGCGCTTTTTATTGAGGAGACGAGTGCTTCTATTTTTATAACTTGGGAGCTTTTTCGAAAGACAGAAGAAGGAAATTTTAAGAACCAAGAAAAAAATTGAGCCAAGAACTCTTTATTTTTACTTCAAAGGAGATAAAATTGAAACAATCTCGTAATTTTTTATTCTTTGATAAACGTTTAAAAAAAATAAAAATTAACATTCATGGATTTTAATCTCTTTCACGTGAAAATATAAATCAAATAAGGTCACGATTATTTTTAATAAAAAAATTATCCCAAAGGTAGAATCTTTTTCAGTTTATTTCAGCCAAAGATACTTGTCATTTTAATTAAAATTTGAGTGTTAAAATAGAAGGTAATTTTCCTGTGGTGTGAAGTACTCCTTCAAGTCAATTGCACGCACGATGTCCTCGTCAGCGAAAAAAGATTTTTCAATTTCAACTTCTTCCTTCATTCGGCGAGGGGCGCCGCACATAAAAGAGTTTAGCGAGCTGCAAATGAAATTTGCTCTGGAGGGTGTGCGCGAGGCACATTTCATATTATACATTTGCGTGAAAAAATTTAGCACGCTTGGCGAGCCGAAGGAAAATTCAATTATAAAATTAATAAAAGTGGCCATTGTTATTGACACGTCGAGGGGAAAGTCTAATAGGAGTTCCGGCGACGAGAGAGAGAAATTCTCAAGTGCTTCAATTGAATGCTCCATCATCGTCATCATCAGCAGCAGCACAACTTATTTACACTTATATTGTATGTGCAGTCCCCGATGAATGGTGCGCGCCAAAATACGAGGGGTGCTTTATTTGGAGTGCAGCGTGCGCGACACTTCTTTGCTCAATTCCCTCTGTATTGTTGTAACTCAAGTGCCATACGGGCTGCCGCCTCCTTTCAAAAGTTATTTCACACCATAGAAATGCGGAGCAGAACGACAGACTCTGTTCTATAGCTTTGGGCCGAGTTGCTGATGGACCAAAGTGGCCGCAAAACTTGTCCGTCGCCGCAGCCGCCTGCACTGACCGGAAAGTGCTTCGGCCGGCTGGAGGCTCCAGATAATTTTCGCTCTTTGCCGCAGAGAGGCAATTTAATTCTCAGAGGGATTTGTGCACTTGATCTGGACATGTACAGTCAGAATAAGAAGGAAAATGAAATTCTGTGGAAAAATTTATGTAATAAATTGACATAATTTGTATGTGTGAGAGAAATATCGACGTTTTTAAAAACTAAATCGTCAAAAGTTGATCATATCAATTCTATCATTATTATTATTACTTAATTATATGAATCGATTATTTAATGAATGAATTAACTCGATTGGTAAAACGCATTTTTCACTGCATAGTGAGGTTTAGATTTAACAGTCAAATGTTCAACTTCCATATGGATTAGTCGGCTTATTAAAAAAATTACTTTTGTGTGGCTAGCTACATATTTTTAATATTTCCTAAATCTAATGGAAAAATGTTGATTAACAATGCAATTTTTTTTCAAACAAAAAAAGATTTTAAATTAAATAAACTAAAAAATTTAAATATGTGAATATATTTATAATAGTAATATTTAAAAACATATTAAAATAAAAATTATAAATAAAATATATGTTTGCTTGAAAATAATTTTCTTTGCATTATTAAGACTCGCTCTTTGCCGCAGAAAGGCAATTAAATTCACAGAGGGATTTGAGCACAGCCGTACAATATATTAATGTTTCACTTTATCACATTACATTCAAAATAAGAAGGAAAACGAAATTGTAGAGAAAAAAAGGTGACGATGAATTTATAAATTTTATTTAGCAGCTAACAATGCGCATCCGGAAGTATATCAATCACTGTCAGGTGCAGTTTTATTGGTCGAGGATTAGAATAATATTAAATTTTAACAAAAACTATATTGTCAGAAGTTGATGATATAAATTTTCTCATTACAATTTATGTGAAATAATTACCTAATATATTCGAATCAAATAACGGACACTTAGTCCTAATGCCTACCACTTATTTTGAGTAATCAAATCAGCTTCTTGTGAAAATTATAATTGTGCGGTTAGATAATATTTAATATTTCCTATTCTGCAGTTGAAAAAATATATATTTTCAACGCAAAATTATTAACAACTAAAATTAAAAAGAATGTAAATTAATAAAAAAAACTTTTAAAATAAAAATGTTAAGAATATGTTAATTATCATAAAAAGCTTGTTAAATTTTGAGCTGTAAATTATAAATAAAAATATGTTCGGGAAAATTTTGACTCATTAGTATGACGTTTGACTGCGTGCGCCGATTATGAAGTTTTAGTTTGAAAATTTTCCATTAATAAAATTATTTTGTTTATATGTGATATGCTGATATTTTGAAAAAAAAAACAATAATATCTAGTTATATTAGAATTATATCTAGTTTTATATTTACGTAAATTGCTTTGTAACAAAAATTTGTTATTATGCTCGGAGCAGAGGGAAGATTTTATTTGCAAATTTTGCGGAGAAAAATGTTTATCATATCAAAAAGAACTGCGTTGTAAAGAAAATGTTAACATTAAGCTGCAAAACTGAAAAGTTTGAAAAAGAAACGTAATTATTCCGTTTTATTTTGTATTTTTTACGCTTGTTGCACGCCTATGGCGTTTCATCAATAAATAAAATACAAAATTTGCACTTCGTTAAATTCCCACTCAAATTTCAGAAATTCAACAATTCAATTTCCTTTTCAATTTTGAACCTTAATTTCATAATTTTTTTTCTATTGTGCAATTAAAGAGAAAAACGTGCGAATGAAGAATGATATTTTACTCTTTTTTGGTGTGAGCATTTGACATGAGTGTCGCTGTCTCATTTTTGAATAAATAACGTCTCGTCTGGTGTAACAGTGAACACACGTCTCGTCTGCGGCGACGGCAGCCTCTGTCTCTCTTTTCCGATCTTTATATATTCATCCTCATATTTGATTCTGTGCTCATTTAAATATTTGCTCTCCTGCGGCTGTCACACGTTCGAGTTATTGGACCGGCGAAGATCGATGGGACGCATTTAAATTTAACAGCAGCCGCTCTTTCTCTCGCGCAAAGCCGCGAGACCGCGCATAAATTTATATACAAACGCGGCGGCGGCACATCAGGCCCGGATTAGAGTCAAAGGATTTTGAATAGGGATTTAATGAGGTGGGAGAAAAATCGGCGCAAACCACAAACCGCGAGAAATGGATTTTGCGGATGAGCTTCAAGTTGAAGATCATCGTCAGCTGCTGCTCATGAAAGGCACAGTGTGTGTTCTCTCCGCTCATCCTTCAAGGGAAAAATATTAGTTGAAGAGAAAAGTGCCGTCAAGATTTTTATTTAAATTTGTGATTTTTTTTTTTAATGAAACAATTTTCTTGATAGTTTTGTATCAAATGGAACCAAATTCCCGAATCAAACCTATTTTTAATTATAAAACTAATTAATCTCTGCTCATTTTAATCTTTAAATAAATGATAGGCTTATGGATATCGCCTAAAAGTTCCTAATTTGAAAAATGACTTTTTTTTAGGGTCAGGCTAAGACAAAGTCTTGTTGGCCTGTGCCCTTTTTTAGTGACGCATGAGGTGCCACTCAATTTTGTCTTTTTTTATTTTATTTTGTTTTTTAGTGTGTCTTGTCTTTATTAAAATCAAGCATCACTTATTTTCGCTGGCATAAACTTTTAAATTTTGAACCTTCAAAGAAGGTAAATTTAACCATCATAAACGATTTTCTTTTCTTGCTGAACAATAATTAGGAATTTCTAATTATTTTAACTACTGTTTCATGTTTGAAACAGTAAGTAAAAAAATACAGATGGAAAAACAACAACTTTCCAATAATACTTTTTTCCTCGTCCCACATAATATAACACGAGGAAAAATCCCAATTTTAATGAAGGTGAGCTGACCTCATATTTGAAGCAACTAAAAATAATATTTTTCAAATCAAGTTAATGCAATTTTTCCATCAGATAATCAAATCGTAATATTTAAACTTCTGCAACAAATTTATTCAAAGAAATGTAAATTGCATGGAGTTTAAAATTAGAAAGAAAAGCGCTTTGAACTTATTTAGTGACACGGCAATATCTCAACTTCATATATACACAAACTGAACGTGTGTGAGTTTATATGACGAGCCTTCATTTGCATGTTCCAAACGCATCACGCATTAGATTTGCAAATCACACTTTGTAGAACG